TTGTGTTTTCTTTTTCATTTCAGTTTCGCCACTTGTCGTGAAGTCTATGAATTTTTCTTCCTCATCAATTGAGAGTCCTTCGGGAGTCTTATGAAATGGATTCCTAACCCACTCGTAACTTGCTAGCAGTTTGTCATGAGCAGGAAAATACTTTTTAAAATTCTTTGCCAGCATGGCTAAATGATTTTCAATGGTTACAAACGTAACTTTCATATATTCTTCTTCAGCCTTATAAGTTTTAGTACAATTATCCACATTTGCAAACAGTGTTAGGTTTTTTTGCTTTAAATTTCTGCCCCACAATTCTAATTTTCTACAAAAAGCATTAACTTCATCACTCGTATCCAACATATGTCTATTTGCTCCTTGGATTATAATATTCAAGTTAATTAATTTCTCGAATATGACGACGAAGTATCTCAATTTCATCACAAATAAACAATAGTGTAAATTCCCGGTTTCCGGTCTGTTATCTTCTAAGAAAATGACGATTTCTTCTCTTAATTCATGAGCACGTTGCAAAAATTTCTCACGTGATAAATATCTTGCCTCACATTTAAATAGTAACTCTGAATGTACTGAACCCATGTCATTGCAAAGAGCAGAAAAGATTCTCGATCTCAGGGTTCTCATTTTTATATAATTTTAAATGGTTACAACCGCAGTTAATACAATATTTAAACCAGGACGTATTTCTTTCAAACCCAAAGCTTCTCTGTGGATCCTGCAATGTGTCCAGACGCATTGAGGCGATTTTTGTTTTACTAGTGCTTTTATACTTTCGAACCTTCCGGATATTGAACAAGCATATTCCGATGCATATTCCAGTGCATATTCCGATGCAATTTTTTTGCATTCTGTGTTTGCATCATTCATAACATCACTTAAAATAGCAAATAATGCTAGCGCTGTTGTTTTGACTTCTATTGCTTTGCAGAAAAGTAGTTCTACTACTGACATATTATCACAAAATCAAACATAGGTAATGAAATGAGCTTCTTTATAATTATATCTCTTGCTTCAAACTGTATTGAAAACATTTTGTCACGCAACATAGAGAAAAGCTGACACTACATTTTCAGCTGTATCACCAATTCGACGAGCAACAGTATCATTTGAAAGAGGTATGGACTGTAATTGTTTTGAAAAATTAACTCCAAACATAGTTTCTACAATCTCAATTGCTGCTGATTTCTACTTTACTTTTGTTTTGGTAGTTAGTTAAAAATAATTTAAAGACAGAATAAAAAATACTCGATATACATTATTGTTGCATACATTTTACTACAAGTGGGGGGCGCGATGAAAATTATGATTGAAAACTGGGCAGCGAATACTGAAAGGTTGAGAAACGCTGACATAAAATATAAATTTAAATAATTATTACAATAGTTGTTTAAAGTGGTAAACTCTGTGAGATCCTCTTATTGTGGTAAATGATGTAAAAATGATTTCCAGTATGTATTTAGCGTCTGCGGAAGCAATAGTAATCAGCGCTGTGAGATCTTCCGATGAGTCTTCTAGTGCCTTATTAACTATTCATTTAAAGTGACTATAAAAGAAATGTGACACTTTTGAGGTCTTGCATACTCGGGATTCATGCAATGAATATCATGATCCATAATTTTGCTTGAATAGATATAGGTAGTTACTCAACTGCTGATATAATGTGCAGACCATGCTGCATAGATTGACATACTATACTGACCTCCATATTTTTTATATTTATAAAATGCCTGTTTTTTTCGCGTGAGTTTTATCCTCTAACTGTGTTTTGCAATCTCATCGTGTATAGCAAGTTTTCTTCCTTTGGAGACTTTTATCATCTCTCTGCATTTGTCGGTCGAAGTTTGGACAGCGGAGCGGTTACGGCAAAGAACATCTAGATTTATCAATATTAACTGTTACTTTAAGCAGCTATGTTATTTCCAAATTTTACAAATTTTGCAAAATACAACTGTTGCAAAACTGTTGTTGACCATTGATAAGCTTTCACGGAGTTTAATGGATTAAAATAGAAAATTTAAGAATTGAAAATGTGAAGAAAAATTGTCTCAAACTGATGATAGAAGACTAATACCCAGCATAAGAGTTTTTATTTTATTTGATACTCGTCGTTGAACTGCCGACCCAATTTTGTGGGTTTACGATTACTAATGTTCAACACCGTAGCCTTGTAATTTTGAACCCAATACAGAAGACAAGTGAACTCCTGGAACAAGTATTGAAAGAAATTTGTCTTCATGGAGGACTTTTCGATGGAACTAACCCGTATTTGCGTTACATGGAGATACAGACCAAGAGAACCTCTCACAGTTAGCCTGATGGCAACCCATGATCCGTCCATCACTGAGAATGTCTCACGTCAACAATTTGGTCGGTGCAAGCAGGATGCGAAATTCGAATCGACCAGCCATCGCCGGGATTCAAACCTGGTTCACCGCATTGGAAAGCAAACGCTTTTGCCCCTGAGCCATCGCAACTCCAGCAAAACAGTTTAATTAATTACATATTAGAACATGCTGAAATAAATCACGTGATTGCTTTAAACGTAATGCTTTATAAAGTGCTAAATATCGTGACTGCTCTATATTTGTTTTTGAAATATATTTCTAGACAATATTGCTACTTAAACGAGCATTAAGGCTTACAGAAACGTAACCTATTTTCAGCTAACGAGTTTATTTTGTAACCGTATGTACAAATTCAGTTTGTTCTATTTAACATGGTTTTGAGAATAAAATAAATGTATAAGATATTTTCCGAAATCATGTTTAAATGCCTGTTATCTATTTCACAGAGCCAATTCATGTCAACATATATCCTCCTGAACAGAAACTAGATGTAGGGAAGACCGCTAATTTCAACTGTTCAATCCAGGGTCATCCAATTGCGTCAGTTACATGGCGTAAGGACATGAGAATACTAAACGCTAATCAGAGAATAATCATTCCTACTCCAACATCTTTGCAAGTTCGGCAAGTGAAGCGGTCTGACTCTGGCGTTTATCAGTGCTTTGTGAACAGAGATGATCTTTCCGTACAAGCTAGCGCAAAGCTTACAATTGGTGGTAAGTGTGAAGACAATGTTTCAAAATCTTATTCCGACAATCATTAACTCCATTTATTAACTCTATACATCTTGCATGAAAATATAGAAGAATGCCTATAATTGCCGATATTTAAAATGCATTTAAACTAAAGAAATTGGCAGAAATCGAATATCAAAGACATATCAAATGATGTACTAAAAGATTTTTTAATATGTAAAGTAACATTTAATTTTTTTTGTTCACAAAAATTATTTAACATGAAACCTATTATAAAAATACAATTTAATTTTGACGCGAAAAGAACCTGCTATGAAACCTCAATGAAGATTTTATTAATGACTATACTTTCGATGAGTTGCTATTACCTTCAGTTTACATTATAATTAATTAGAAAAATAGATTTTTTTCAAAAATTAATTTTCCTGATACTACCTACTTAACCTATACAGTTTACAGTTTAAGAGGAAATAATTTATAAAATAAAGTCCCATTTTTTTCCTCATTTTCAGCATGTGAAATGTGTCAAAAAATTTTAATTAAATTCCACAGTCAATTTTAAGTATACTGTAAGCATTAAAGTAAATATTCATAAATTACAACCATCTTTCTCTCTCAAACAAAATGAAATCGTCCGTTTCAAAATCAGATTGATTAAACTGTTATTCAATTTTCTTAAGCGTCATCATTTTTTTTTGTAAGAAAACAAAAACTAAAATAAGCAAAATAAAAACTCCTTCCTACAAATATTTATAAAATTATTATAATACAATGTTTTTTTTCAGTGAATAAATTTTGCCCTTTCTATTTCAGATCTAGCACCAAAATTTACAGTGACGTTCCCAGAAAAAATTCTTCGACCTGGAAGCTACGTCTCGCTGGTTTGTGTAGCTTCTGGCAATCCCGCACCACAGATTAAATGGTATTTGGATCGTATTTGGCCTGTGTCAACTCGTCCAGGCACACTAGTCAGTACTTACTTAAGCAGTTCAGGTGAAGTAGTCAGTTATCTGAATTTCACTTCAATCGATGTATCAGACAGTGGATTGTATCAGTGTGAGGCTTTCAATGAGGCAGGGAGTATTCAGCATTCCAAAAGACTGAATGTATTTGGGCCTTTGTTTATCCGTCCATTAAGCAACTTGACAGCACTGGCAGAATCTCGATTTGCAGTTTACTGCCCATTTGGTGGGTTTCCGTTCGATAATATCGTTTGGAAAAAAGGTGAGTAGTACTTTTTTTCTCATTGCAATGTGATAAAGAGTGGTTTAAAAATTCAATCCAAAAATTTTGCTTTTAAATATGATTCCCTTTTAATCTATTTTTAAAGATACATTGGGTTCATACTATGATTTCATACTAGAAATAAGAGAGTTTTAGCGTTCCTTTAGAAATTGAAACCATTTGTCCATGAACTCTCTTTTGATGCCCTACATGGTTGTCCGAGAACAATTGTAAGTGTATTAGGTATTCCTTATAGTGTTAAGGTTTAGAATTCTGACTAATCCGATTATCTGGGTAATATATTGATTTCCTGGACAAACATGAACAAGAGTAAGTAATGTAGCCGATCGATGCCTTTTATTAAAATATTTAATCAAGACTATGAGTAGCCATTCAGTTAAGATCAGACCCTTAGTAATCCATTTTGTGGCTCGATTCTGAAATTGCATTTTTATACACTTATACTTACACGAATGGTATCCGTGAAGTATAGTTGTTGAAGTTAATTTTGTTAGCACTATAATAAGCAATCTGCATACCGAATTTTATTTAAATTGGCCAAGTGGTTCAAGTAAAAATCACGCCGAAAACTATTTCTTTAATCACTATAGTCTGTACCTTAGTTAGGAATGCACAAAATAAGACTTGAAAACAATTTCAAAGAACGTTAAAAAGAAAATATATTCATAAAATGTTTTCGTGACAAAAGCTTCAATTTTTAAATAGTTTTTCCGTTTAATGTCGCATCAGTTGTAAAATATCAAAGAGAAACGTGATTTAAATTACTTCGTTGCATTTTTTAAATAAGTTGAAATTCATTCAACTATTAAACACTTTTATTAAGAATTTAAATAAACAGACAATTTGTATGAAAAAAAGAATTTCCCTAATTGCTCCCATGTTATCGTGCAAAAGTGAGAAAACTCTTACGAAGCGTTTAAAAAAGAATAAATTGCTTTGGGGAAAAAGGAAAAAAATATAAGCGCAATTAGTGTGAAATTTCGAACCTCATTATTTTAGGATTTATACCACAATGACAATGCTTTTGTCTTCAGGTTACAAAATCCTTCATTTTTATATCCGTTTGCATTTGTTAAATCCAAGGATTTTCATATTTTTCTCAATGCTTCTTAACTTTGCTTTAGGGAAACATCATTAAAATAAAGCAAGGAAAGGGAGTTTTATTTTTACATAGCAATAAAGATTTGCAGAGTACGAGAAAAGAAACTTAAAACTTGCTTGGTTTACCGAAAATTTATGCAATTACTTAAATTCAAATTCAAAAATATGAGACAAAGTTTTAAATAACAGAAACTATGCAAATATATTTCAGTAAACGCCGGGAAAATTATTTTTTAAATCACATCAATTCTGCAAATACAAAATTTAAACATTCTGGATCAAATCTGGGAAAGAATTTAGAAAATGATAAATTTCCTAGCATCCAATCAAAATTTTGAAGAGAATAGATAATATTTAAATACAAATTTCAACTTATTATATATATTTTAAACTTTAAATCCACTTTATAATCAGGAAAGAAAAATATTTAATTTATGTATTTGGAGCAGGGATAAAATTTAATGCCCCATATTTCTATAGAAATTCCTCAGTAGTTTGAGAGTAAAGTCTGGAATATCATTTTAATGCATGCATGGAATTTAAGCAGTGTTATAAAAATAATGCTAAATAACGTAAACATATTTAAAAAAAAATCGATTTTTTTTCTTTCACTTAAGCAATGAGATAGTTTATGCTCATAAACAAGCATATATAAAAACTTTTTCACTTGAACTTTTTGTTTGAGAACGTGTTAGCAATCTACCTCAAAATAGTTGCAAAAATGAAAAACTAAATTATGTTTTTTGATCAAGTCTTTTATTATACTAAATAAAAAAGTAAGATTTTTTTTTAAAAAAAGCAGGATTTTTTTAAAAAAGAAAGATGTTTCGCTCATTTTTGTAAATAAGTGTACCGTTACTAAATGCTGATTCGTTTCATAAAATTTATCATAATTCAGATGTTATTTCAATTCAAATAAATCGTCTACATAATTATAAAGAATCATTTTGCACTATATTATAAGTTCGGAACCAAGTTTTACTTGGCCTTACGAATGTAGCTTACGGAATTATGTAGTAACTTGTAGTTTAACATAGTTAACTGGCTGATAATAACTTGTTCTGGTGTTTATATTATTTATTATTATTTACTTTTCAGAGTTTAATTAGGTATTTTATCTTAACAAAACCGTATTAGTAAGTACACGTATTTCACATGCCATTATGGGAACACTTATGCTACAATATTTTTTAAAGCAGTTTAATTAGGTATTTTATCTAAAAAAATTTACTAGTTAGTGCACGTATTTCACCTAACATTACAGGAACACTTATGCGTCGATTTATTTTGATACTGTTTAATTATACTTTATCATAATATATATACTTTATCTATAATACTTTATCTTAACGAAACCATCTTGGTTAGTACACGAATTTCACTTGACATTATAGCAATACTAATGAGTCGATCTATTTTAAGTGTATAGTAAATTCTTATTATATTACTATTACTCTAACAGATCAACCAGGTTGCTCATCATCTTTAACTAGCTCCTGATATTTTTTCACTATTTTCTATTTTGCTTTTTTGTTTCTTTAGAAGGACGAATTCTTCCTGTTAATCAAAGACAGCGTGTGTACCCGAATGGTACTTTAGTCATTGAAGGTGTACAGCCTAGAGTAGATGATGGTCGCTATAGTTGTGAGGTGGCATCCAGTCAAGGAATGCCTATTTCTCGTTCTTTTCGGATTTTAGTTCGAAGTAGGTACAACAACTAAAATTTTTCTCGCAGTAATTCTTTTCGAAAATAAAAGTGACTTAAAATGTGAATTTTTTTGTAAAAAAAATTTGACTAATAATCCAAAACTTACTTTGGAAAATCTTCGCAATAAAATCAGGAAACATTTTAGTCAAAAAAAAAAAAATATATTATAAATTTTAACAAAAGAAAAGAGAAATGATTGCTGTGTTTCCAGATTTATAACGTAATTATTTGGTAGAAACTGTAGGTATATATGGCAATTTTTGTGTTAATAATTTTTAGGCAAAGCAAAACATCGTGAATGGAGTACAAAAATGATAAAGAAAAGAACTCAATACAGTTTCAGTTTTAAAACCAAGAACCACTCCTAGTATCTAAACATAAAATGACGATAAGACAGTAACGGAATAAATGCGTTGCAATAAGAAAACTAGTGTTGAACAATTTAATAAAACACGAAAAATACGAAGCAAATGTAAGGGGTTAGGTGGAAACATCATGGTACAAGAATATATCTTCAAATATAATTAAATTACATTACATTACTTCAAATATACATTATATTGATCACTTATTAAATCAGTAGAACCTTTCAAAATGTAGAAAGAAACCCAAGAGTCAAGGTCGATTTACGAAGATGAATATCAGTATTTTTGCAAATTAAAACCTGTATCGTTTATTGCAGATTGTTCAATATCTTGATTTGGACATTTATTGTTCTTCTTGTTAAAATTCAAAGGTGCATTTATATTGTTCAATGTCTGCAAGACCTTACTGTCAAGCAAAATTGTAAATATCGAAATTTATAATTATCAATAACAAGATCTTTAGGGTTGGGAAAATTTAGTTTGTTTGCAGGAGAGAAAGGACTTTAAAATCAAATTTATTAAAAATCTTAACGGTTTAGGAAATGACTAGGGGATTATAATTACCTTATTACAAAAAAAAATTTAAAGTTCGAATTAGAGAGTTTGTTGCATTGCGTGATTATATTTTTATCAACAGAATCAATAATATTAGAAAAAGAAACCAAGGTCAACAGAGGTATCTTAAATGTTAAAAGATTTCTGTTATATTAACAAGAATATTTAGAATAAATTTTTAAAGCTTGCGGTTGTTAAGAGAATAAAATGGATTGGAGAATGAAATGAAATGCGATGTTGGAAGAATGAAACCGCAAATAGTTTCCGATAAACAGTTGTAAGAACTATATGAAAATTCTAAATAATAAAAACGTCTGAGGATGGTCAAGTTATTTTCTCTTTAAGCAAGAATTCAATACCAGGACATAAATTCATAATATGAAAAGCATGATCACGGTATCCATCAAATGTTGAGTTAATTTGCTTATTTTTCTAACTCATTTCTTCTTACTTCAAAGTGATTGCCTCGTTTATTTTCTAATGTCTATTTCTACTGTTCTTTTGAGTTTAGTCATTGAAGAAGGTTCATGTCTATAGAACCGATACTTTATTAAAATACTTTAAAAATGTTGCAGCGTGTTAGTACATAACATCGTTCAAATTTGTTGCAGTACTAATATTCTGCTAAATTGAATCGTATAATTATACATGATGCTAAGTTTCAATTTAACACAAGAATATGCTTCAACTTTGAACCATAAATTTTTTAATTTTTTTTTTTTTATAAAATATTTTCTTCGCAAAGAGAAAAATTTATTTCAACTTTTTAATTTTTCAAATTATATATTTTACAAATAAAATGTATTACAAAGAGAGAATTAAAATTTTTTTAAAAAGGTGCAGTGCGAAATAACAAGCATCTTTAAAAAAATTTTATCCAATGAGCGTATTGTCGCTTACTAGATCTCAGTCCGAATCGTATGCGATCCTAGCCTTAGATAAGTTAATTAATTTTCGCTGGCGAAATTTTAAGTTATAAAAACAGGCAAAAAATATACTTTCTCTGAAAAAAATATTACATTTCTGTAGAGGATTCAGATTCTTAATCCTCTAAATAAAGCTGTAGTCGCAATCTGGAAAATTAATTTAGGCAAACCAGCCCAACTCAAAATTCTTGATGGACCGATCAAAGCATTTTGATGGTTTATGTTGGTTTCAGTGCCGATTCATGATGGTCCAACATCATTTGATGGTCAACATCATGAACCTATTCCATTGCGTGTTTATGATTTTTGATATGCCAACAAACTTCCATCAATATTATGTTGGTCCAGCAAAGGAAAACTATCGAAAATTTTAACTTGTGAGCAGTCGAAAGTGTGGAACTGTTAATAATTTTACTACATAAATTTTGATGGTTTTTGTTGGTTTCAGTGCAGATTCATGATGGTCCAAAATAATTTGATAGTCAACATCATGAACCTATTCCATTGCGTGTTTATGATTTTTGATATGCCAACAAACTTCCATCAATATTATGTTAGTCCATCAAAATAAAACTATCGAAAATTTTGACTTGTGAGCAGTCGAAAGTGTGGAACTGTTAATAATTTTACTACATAAATTTTGATGGTTTATGTTGGTTTCAGTGCCGATTCATGATGGTCCAAAATCATTTGATGGTCAACATCATGAACCTATTCCATTGCGTGTTTATGATTTTTGATATGCCAACAAACTTCCATCAATATTATGTTGGTCCATCAAAGGAAAACTATCGAAAATTTTGACTTGTGAGCCGTCGAAAGTGTGGAACTGTTAATAAGTTTACTACTTACATATCTCGCTATCCAAAAAAAACATGTTCTTAAATTATTCTGGATATTCACTTTTTTTATTTGGAGCACTGCACAATTAAAACTATAGGTTTTTAATAAAAACTTAAGCAATAATCAGTCTAACCTAAAAAATGGTCAATACATTTCTCTTAAAAATTCAAACTATTAATAAGGACAAAAATATTTTGTGATCCAAAAAGACCATTAAAACATGAAACATGAAAATAAAGCATCTCATTTCTTTATTATAAAGTTTGTCTTTTAGTCGGAATTTTTCCTATTTGGAAAATGTGTTTTTGCATAATTTAAACTGCTACTTCTCTACGCTGTTATTTGTTCTTCTTAACATTGAGAAATTTCCTGAAAGGAAAATTTGACGCTGTTCCTTTCCCATATCACTTAAAATGCAGAAAATATTGATTCTAGGTAAATTAATATAAGATATGCAAAGCGTACCACTGAGCTTCTGTGTCAAAAATATACCTAGAGTGTTTTCCATTTACTTAATATGCATACTTAAATACTTCATTTCATTTAAAAAAATATAAACTTATTTTTAAAGTTTCATGTTAGTAGAAATGTTCAGTAATGGAAGACATATTTAAAATTGCGATTTCAATTTAAACTTACGAGAAAATATTTGACTTTAATTTGTTATTTTAAAATATACTATTAAAACAACCACTCTTCAAAAATTCTTTCATATTTAATATTAACTAGAAGTTACTATATCGAATTTAACAGCACATTTAAAGGAATGCAATATATTCCTCTATGAAGCGCACTTTAAAATTTAAAATGTTTTCAAATGTCTAAATTACTCATTATAAAGGTTAGTATTAGTTACATTATATTCTTTTATTCACTAATTTTGTTAAAAAACTTAAGTAAAGTAGTAAAGTAAAGTAAGTAAGTAAGTAAGTAAGTAAAGTAGTTAAATGCAAAAAGTACAAAAAAGCATTTTTAGAGAAACCAAAAACATATAAAATACCATGTTAAAATTTGCAAATTTTTAATTTCTAAATACATATTTAAAAAATTGTATTTTCAAACCTGTAACAATTAAAGTATAGGCTGAACACTAGCAAATTAAAGTATAAATTATTTAAAACTAGTCATTTATTTCTTAAATTTGTAATAAATTTGTTTTAGAGTATAGCAAGAAGATGAAAAGAACTGTAAAATTTATACTAAGTACTTAATCCTTCTTGTCAATAACAAATTTTAAAAAAACAATTAAAATATATTTTTTAACACTTATATAAAGAATAAATAATTCACGGGAAGTTTTAAAAGTGTCTAGAAGTGTTTTATAATTAGTGAAAAGTTTCATAAAAGGGATGGAATATAAATTTCGGAGAATATAAATTTTGAAGTGTGTTGAGCAATGATATCATGCAAATTTGCAGCAGGCATTGGGCTAATTGAACCATATTTTTGTAGTTCTTTAGCTTGATTAAATGATGCGATGTTTCCACTTGAATGTTAACGTGTTGCTTAATATTACACCTTATTACGAGTGAAGCAAATTCGCACTATTAAAAGGTTCAAGTTACCGCACTAATAAAAGAGTATGATCAAAACTACCAAAATATGATCAAATTTTCTTCTGGCTGTATGGGAACACGAAAAAGCTCAGTAGCTTTTACCGAAGTGCTATGGTAATGATTTCGGTTAAATTAACTTTTAAATATAGGGCTATAATAATATTTTGAAAATTTAAATTTCCTGTAGGCGTTACCATTTGTACGGAAAAATCACTAAGCTGACGATTCGAAAACCATATACTTTAGTTTTATTACCAGAATTATGTTTTCATTTTTACTAGATATGCCCTTGCCATACAAATCATATAGCAATTTTACCATACATCCTGTTACTTTCTCAATATTTTTTCCTTTTTTCGATGTGCGATGTGATGTTATGAAACAACAATAAACCAATTTTTTCTGAGGCTTTAATAATATCGCGAAATTATATTTAATGCAAGGAGTTCTACTATATAAATAAATAAGAAATCAATAATAATTTAAAGAAATACAGTTTTTTTCGCATGTGTTAAATGCATATTTGTGTCCTCAAAATAACGCAAACAGCAAAAATACCATACTAAAGCATAATTATGTATTTTTTCTTGTTCAGCCGGACCAAAAGTTGCCAGTTTTTCCTTCAAAGACAACCTTCATGAAGGCATGTTAACAGCAGTTACTTGCATCGTTGATGCTGGGGATGGCCCATTGACCACTAGATGGCTTAAAGATGGCCAGATTCTGTTGGAAGAAGATTTAGATGCCACTATTATGTACGCTCAAGAAGGACATGTATCCACATTGACAATCAAAAAATTGGAACATAAACACAATGGTAATTACACGTGTGCCTCCACAAATGACGTTGCTACTGGATCTTACAGCGCTATTTTAACTGTCAAAGGTTAGTTCAAAAAATTTTTTATTATTATTTCTATTCGATTCAAAAGATAACGAGAAGTGCGGATGATGTAGTAGCAATTTAACCGTAGAGTTTCTAAAAAGAGAACAAGGTAGAACTCATTTATTCTAAGACCTGATGAAATGAAATATCTGGTCTAAAGTTTTTCTAAACCAGCATATTTATGGCCTAATCATAACCAAGCATCCAACCCGTTTTAGAGGAAGCTATTTTTTAACTATATAATTTTGAAGCCGGTCAGACGGCATGGACAAGATCTGAATTCCCGCTCTCCATACTTTCTTACTAGAAACAGCGAAAGGATAAGATTGAAAAACTATTATGAATATACCGTTCCAAAGAACAGATGTTTAGAAAAATTAGAATTAAAATTTTCGATCATTTATATTACTTTTAACATTCGATCAAAATAGACCAGACGAATTCCGATGTTCAAATTTTTATTTAATTTTTACTTAAGGGGACACGGGACCTCTCAAATAAAAATTTATGAAAACTTGTTTTTTAATTTAATTTTACTTTTATGAGCATAATTTATTTATTTTTTAGCATATTTTAGGAAATAGGCTAAGTAAATACAATTTTGGCCAAAATTGTTTCAAACATTTAACGAAATATGAATATTTTGAAAAAATACAAAAATTGTCCCTTGCGTCTAAAACTTCATCCAAATAATTCACAAATTTTTCTATACATAGATAATGATGATATAAAGACTCTCTAGCATCAGTTATTATTTCACTTTAACAGGTTTTGAGGAAAAAAAATTGAAATTTTTATACAGAATGAAATATTTTGTTTTGGGGCTTAGCTGAATTCGTGTTAATACGTGTGTGTAATTCTTGTTTAGTAATTCGTATTTCGCTGAATTCATGTTTCGTGTCAGTGTATAAACTGTAACAGTATTGTAGTTCTTAAAATTCAAATTAAATCGAATTAAAATTACAATTTATAAGTGACAGTAACATTTGTCAGTCAAAATAAATTCCATTTTACTAAATAGCTGTCACACGACTTAATTGAAATGGAACACAAAAGGTGACAAAAATATTGCCTTCAGTTTAGGTATCCAAGAAATTATCAATAGAAAACATTCATTTGATTTTATTGGAAAGATAGAGAAAATTTTTTTAAGGGTAACAGTTGTCCAATTTACGTGTTTTACCAGTAGTGTTAAAATTCTTAGCTAGGTTTGACTAAACTTTTTTCGTCTTAGCTAGGATAAGAACCTTAGTTATAACTAAGCTTAGCTGAATTCATGATCGTAGAATTAAATACGGAAGTATAAACTCTCTTAAATCTCAAATTACACCGAATGGAAAATATAATTTATAAGTGACAGTAACACAATCTGTCAGTAAAAATAAATTTCATTTCACTAAATAGCAGTCACACGCAATGATTGAAATGTAACACTAAAGGTGATAGAAATGCTGTAGTATTAGTTACGTTTAGTATTCATTAAATTATTAACCGAAATGATTCAAAAATGTTATTTGAAGGGTTCCTAAACTTCTATCTTGACATGCCCTCATGCCATTTTTCTCTGTTTGTGAATTTACAGGAATTATGGAAAAAACTCTTTCCAGAGTAACAGTACGTGATTAACCAAATGCTTTAAAATTCTTAGCTAGGTTTGACTAAACTTGTCTCGGCAATAGCTAGGCTAGGAAACTTAGCTATAACTAAGCTTAGCTGAATTCATGATAATAGAATAAAATACGGAAGTACAAACGTTCGTAAATCTCGTGTTACATTGAATGGAAAATACAATTTAAAAGTGACAGTAACAATCTGTCAGTTAAAATAAATCCCATTTGACTATATAGCAGTCACACGCAATGATCGAAATGTTACACGAAAAGTGATCGAAATGTTGCCTTTCGTTTTAGTATTCAAGAAATTATTTGTCGAAAGTATTCAAAAATGTTATTTGAAGCGTTCCTAAACTTCCATCTTGACATGCCCTCAAGCCATTTGTCTTTGTTTGTGACTTTACTGGAATTATGGAGAAAACCCATTCTAGAGTTAAAGTTGCTAAACTTACGTGATTCCCCAATAATGCTAGGAAACTTTCTCCAATGGTTTCTCTATTTCGCTGCTATTAGAATGAGAAAGGAAGTTAATAAATAATTGTAATGATGAACTTGTAAGTTTGCTTTATCGAAAGTATTTTGCAGTTGTTCGGTTTTATTTAATATATGGTAATTTCTATAGGGCTTATGAAAATATAGAGAATATTTTTTTAAATTTTTCTATGGAAAAAATTGTGACTAAATATTGCTTTAGTTTATATGTATAAGAGAAACTAACTTTCGTGTTGAAAAGTATTTTGCTGGAATGATTTGTATTTATATTGCATAGATATAAACTAATTCCTTCGAACAGTTTTAAAATAAACTCATTACATCATTCTATTTTTATTTGTTTTTCTAAAAGAGTAATTTCAGGAAAATTTTATTACGCAATTTTTGATAATACTGGATATAATATGACAAAAAGGAATTGTAGAACAAATGATGTCTAGAATTCATAATAGGGTATATGAAATTAAGCTAAATAATTAGGATGTGGTTTATTAATTAGTCTATATTTTGTTGCAGAGCCTTCCGAAAAAAACACTAATTAAAACTTCTTACCGTTTCTAAAAATATCCTTCCCGAAAATCATATTGTGAATATACTCATATAATTAAACATTTAGCTAAATTTTGTGAGTGCCTCGTTAAAAAAATTAAAAAATACACACGATGAATGCAATAATTACGAAACAGTCCTAGTTTATAATCGCATCATAAATCATAAAGATGCGCAAAAATAATAGAAATTCTCATAAAGTCTGTCATTTGCATATTAAGATATTTTCTGCAATCCATTGTAATTTTTTGTGTTATATTTTTTAAATATGGTAGAAAATTAATATTGTTCAGTCCCCCCCCCCCGGTGAATTCTTGAACCCTGTGATATGATATGATAAAAAATAATTAATGAAAGTAGCTATAGCAGCTAAATAAATTAGGATGTGATTTATTAGTAAGTTTAAACTTTTTACAAAGTCATCCTGAAAATAACAATAAATATTATTAATCAAACTTTCTAACGTCTCTAAAAACATCCTTCGGTTATAATCCGATTTTGTAAATATACTCAAAAAGATAAAAATCTTGCTAAATTTTGTGAATGTCTCGATAAAAATATTTAAAGAGAATACACATGAGGAATACAATAATTACGAACCAGTCCCAGTTTTTAGTTGCATCATAAAGTTAAAATCATAAAGTTGGATAGGAAATTATAAAGATGAGCAAAAATAATAGAATTCTTATTAAGTATTCAAGTCATTTATATTTCAAGATGCTTTTCCACATCGATTGTAATTTCTTGTGTTGTTTTCCTTGAAATATCATTAATATAATATTTAAAAAATTTTCTAAATTTTGCGTGTGCCTCGTTAAAAGTATTTAAGGAGAATACACATGATGAATGCAATAATTACGAACTCGTCGCAGTTTTTAGTACCATCACAAGGTTGAAACCATAATGATGGATATGAAATCATAAAGACGGGCAAAACAAATAGAATTCTCATTAATTATTCAAGTCATTTATATTTCAAGATACTTTTCCGAATCTATTGTAATTTTTTGTGTTGTTTTTTTGAAGTATCATTAATATCCATATTTTAACATTTTGCTAAATTTTGTGAGTGCCTCGTTAAAAATAATTAAAAAAAAAACATACATGATTAATACAATAATTACGAACCAGTCCCAGTTTTTATAGTTGCATCATAAAGTTGAAATCATGAAAATGGATATGAAATCATAAAGATGAGCAAAAATAATATAATTCTCATTAAGTATTCAAGTCATTTATATTTCAAGATACTTTTCCGCATATATTGTAATTTTTTGTGTTGTTTTCTTTGAAATATCACTAATATCATATTTAAACATTTTGCTAAATTTTGCGAGTGTTTCGTTAAAAATATTTAAGGAGAATACACATGATGAATGCAATAATTACGAATCAGTCGCAATTTTTAGTTGCATCACAAGGTTGAAACCATAAAGTTGGATATGAAATCATAAAGACGGGCAAAACAAATATAATTCTCATTAAGAATTCAAGTCATTTGTATTTTGAGATATTTTCCGCATCCATTGAAATTTCTTGTGCTGTATTTTTGAAATATCATTAATATTAAATTTTTTGGTAATCGTAATATGGTGAATATTAATATTTCATATCCTGGATATTAATATTTTTTAGTTCCACCTCGATGGATTCTTGAACCCAGTGATATAACAGCTGTTTCAGGACGTCCAGCGACAATCAGTTGCCAAGCAGATGGGGAACCACATCCCCATATCAGGTGGAAGAAAACAACAGGTGAGTGTTTTGCACTTTATAAAACACTTGCAAGCAAAATGGGGGTATTCCAGGGCATTTTGAAAACCAACAAAGTTGATGAAATTTTTCCTGAAAAATTAGTTTTATGTGTTATAAAAATATATTTTCAACTTTAATTTAGCTTTTATTTTCAAAATTTTTAAAGTTGCTTGCCAATTTATAAATATATGCCATAAAATAGCATGATCATTTGTTACTTCATATAAGAATAATTGATAAAAATACAAAGTTCTACTGAAAGAATTATTATTGCACAGAATTTCAATTCATGAGTAACGCGTTGAGCTATTTAAAATTTTTAAATAATTCAATGCATTACTTTCAAATTTATAAATACACGCCTTAAAATAGCATGATCAATTGATTCTTCATGTAAGAATAATTGAGAAAAATTCAAAATTCTACCAAAAAAAAATTATAATATAGAATTTCCAATTCCTGAGTAGCGCATTGAGCTACTTAAAATTTTTTAATACTTCACTGTATTACTTGCGAGTTTATAAATACACGCCATAAAATAGCATGATCATTTGTTACTTCATATAAGAATAATTGAGAAAAATACAAAATTCTACTAAAAAAATTATAATATAGAATTTGAAATTCATGGGTAACGCAATGAGCTACTTAAAATTTTTTAATACTTCAATGCATTAACTTGAGAATTTATAAATACAAGCCATAAAACAACATGATAAATTGTTAATTCATATAAGCATAATTGAGAAAAATACAAAATTTTTACTAAAAAAATTACAATATGGAATTTAAACACATGAAAAATACCAAAACAACTAATTAATTTACTTCAAAAAATAGAAAAATTATAAAAGATGGAGAATAAGATTTTTTTCAAGAGTCAAAAGAAAATTTTAAAATTTTAGGAAAATGACAAATCTAAAAAAAAATATTAATTTTTTCAGATAATTCTGTAAAAGAGGGACACATTTAATATGTAATGATTGTTCATAAATATATAGAATGAGTTATATTGAGTAGAATTGTTTTATATAAGAAAGTTCTTTTAGCAGCTCTATATGCTATAAACTATATATGCTGACTCTGTCACAACGCTGAATAGAGTATTGTTGTTTCTCCAATAGTTACATATTGGAAAAATTTATTAAGACATTATATATTTCAAAATGTTTAACCGCTTTTTGTCAGAATTATCGCAGCTAGAATGACTACAAGTCATAAATTATGATTAAGTGTAAATGTACTGAATATAATATGAAATTTCTGTTCAAAAATTGTGAAATCTACATTTTAAATAGAAGCTAATATAGTTTAATTTTTGAAAATGTACAAAAATTCAGCAATTTTAAAATAAGATTAAATATAAAGTAATTAAATATAAGGAATAAATAAATAAGAATAAATGAATAAGAGAAGAATAAATAAAGTAAGAATAATAAATAAATAATATATAAAGATTAAAATATAAAGATTAAGAATAAAGAATTGTCAAAATTTGTAAGAAAATTCAAAATTGAAGTAAATCACACGCTTTGTTGTTTTATTTTACAGTGATTTGTTATAGGAAAAAAAATCACACGCTAAAAAAATTTCTTGTCTAAATTACTGTCACGGACCAGCAAAAAGTAGTTAAATTCACTTAACTTAAAAATAATTTTTTTGCTCGTAAAATTATTATGATCGTAAAAGTACATGCATGTCCGTTAAATTCGTATAAAGTGTATCACCCTCGAAGAAATTTTCGAATAAAATGCATCACCTTCGAAGAAATTTTGTATTAACAATATTACTTTTATTCTACTGAAAAAATACTTTCTTTTGCTTTGGAAATTATTAAAAAACTGAGAAAATAATTTTCGTTTAATGCTTGTTAAAACTAAATTTGATATTGTTAAATACTGTTAAAACTAAGTCAAGAAAAAGCTTTATATAATGACATTGAAAACGAACATAAATAATGAACATCATTTTCGAACATCTTGAACGCTGAATGGTTTTTTTTTCTGTCAAAAGTTTTAGTAATATAACATTCGCTGATGTTAGGTTTTAAATGAAATAAAATTTGCAAAAAATGCTTTACTAGGATTCTAATACTTAGCTATTTATTTTTTCTTTTCTATCACATATTTATATCCTGTATATAGCTTGAAATAATATTTTGTTTTAAAAATACATTGCATCTTAACATATTATTTTTCTTCAAAATATGTTAAATTACTTCTTTTAAATATGTGAGAATGGTCATAACAAATCTTTAAACGAAATTAAATTGTGAAAAAAATTGCCTCGCCTAAGTTAAACACTCATTATTTGTATTTTTATCAAAATATTTATTTAAAAGAAATAGTATAAAGATTTATTTATTTCTAAATTTTTAAGTTAAATACATGCCTTTGTTTGTTTATTTTAAATCAGCAAGAGTCGTTGTAATATAAAATATTCCAATGCAAGTCTGTACTTTAGGAAATTCACAAAATATTTCTTTAGTATGATTCGCCTAAAAACTTTTGAAATCTTTCTTGGAAATGGAGATTTGCAAAATATTTTCTTAACAAAACGTGAAAACTTTTATTTTTTCTTGTAAAGAGGGCATAAATTTTATTTTTCTACCAAATTCAAACATTCGACGCCTTCATGAACATGAAGAATGAACAATGTAAATATATATTTTATATTTTTCTTCCTTTTAAAACTTCAAAGCTATTGCTCAACAAAAAATGTGTCACAATAAGAAATTCCTACTCTTCTATGGTAACTATCGACTTTTGGTATTTAAATTTGTATAGTCATGCATCGATTTTCGCTTAAGATAACACCAAAAGTTTCTAACGATATGTAAATTTTGACTTAGTCTGTTAAAAATTATCTAAACAAATGTTGCAGTTTCAGAACATTTATTATACGTTATTTAACTGCAATAATTAAGCTTCTATATGATTCTAGTAAGAAAAGTTTTATCCATGGAAAACAAACTATATTTCTTAAAAAAACAATATAACAACCAGAAGAAAAAACCGAGGAGTGGCAAACGTTAAAAAATTACACATTAGAAATTTCATCTTGCATAATAAAAACCTTCAACAGTTTTCCTCTGTCATATTGTTTTGAAATAAACCAAAAACTTAACAAACTCTGGTTATTTGCTAAAAGCAATGTTTGCTTAAAAATTCTATCACGATTTAGCAGCTTTGCATAGAATGGCAAGATAATATTAAATAACACTTAATATTTTGCCCGAGATTTAGTAGGCCCTTCCAATAAATAAATAAATAAAATCAGACCATGGGAATATTTGCGCTAAAATAGTGGGCGTTCAGTTAATTCTTCCATAGGGATAGTTATCAAAATTCAATTAGTTTTCCTTCTCTCTAAGACTATTTAATGCATACTCTTATTACTTTTCAAAGTGAATTTTAGTGAAGTTCGCAGAAATCATTTTACAGGTCGTGAATTTTCTCTAAACTTTGAAAGTATTTTCACGGTACTATTCAAATCGCATATTCTTCGCGCGTATTAAGTCAATATTAAAATTAATATCGTTGAGTTTGGGCAATGATTTAAAAGTAATATATTTGTTTTGGGATATTCAAGTTTCATATGTTCCTTTTAAATAAGGAAACTAAATATCCTTTTTGAATTTAGTCAAAAGTATGATTCGACCAATAGCCAAAGTTTCTAATGCCTATATTTTGTAGATAAATATTTTTGCTATAAGCTTCTTATTTTGTAAATAAATCTTTCTGTTTCCTTTATTCAATTTTATAGATCATCCACCTGACCAATTTAAAACTATTGTTAGTAGTTCACATGTCCATATATTGGTGAACGGTTCATTAAATTTTCCAAGCGTAGAAGCGTCTGATGAAGGATATTATCTCTGCGAAGCTAATAATGGTGTGGGACCTGGATTAAGCACAGTTGTTAAACTAACTGTTCACAGTAAGTTCAATATTTTATGGAATTTCACAACTTTTTTTGTGATATTAAATATAAACGCATTAAAAAAATTCGTAATAACATTGAATAAGAAAGTAGGGTCTAAACTACTAGAAATATTTTGGAATTTACTTTATTTCTGGACAAAATGCTCGGTGAATTTTACAGCAGGACTTTGAACTGATTTTGATAAAATTAATTGTAATATATGATTTTATAAGTGATAAAATTTGATAAATGTGGTAAAAAACACTAATAATCTATGGTTTTATAATATGGGGTAGTATAATGTGTGGTATAATATATGGTTTTATAATCCACGGGACATCATTTGGGCATCGAGTTTTCTCTGTGATAAGGGATTTGTGTCCCCGGTGTCAGCTTAAAGTCCTCTCAGCATCTTTAGCTGTCTAGGAAATATGTGCAATAAGGATATCATTTCCGTCATCATGTTAAACTTCTATGACTATTTACTGAAAAATGGCTGTTTCGAAACTGCTTAATCGCGATAATTAAACACAATAAATGCCATATCGAAAATCGCTACCAAAAATGTTCAAACTTTTAACTTAGATTATCTTTATTGTACAATGAAATTTAATAGTTGTTAAAATAAAAACATCTGAAATTATTTTCGTATAAAAATCAGTTGTTTTTAAAAATTTTCTTTGATAAATATAAATATTGATTCTAAATATACAAAGGTTTGCTTAACATGCTATGATGTTGCTCTTTAATCTTTATGGACTTTCATTTCCTAAAGAAAATATTGATTTGGAGGATATTCGAAAAGTAAAAGAAAAACGTATCTTACTTGCTAAAACAAATATTAATTGAAAACATTCTAAAAATAGCTTTCGAACACGATTTAAAGATTTTGACCTTTACTCTTTATACGTGTCTATTCGGACAAAAATTCCACATTCATATTTTCTTCTTTATCACTAAATAATAATAGTAAAGACATTGAATATTTTTACGAATTTTTCTTTGAATGATTCAAAATATTACTCTTGTAAAACTTTATTCATTTCATTTACCTAAAATAAATAATATTTTCTAACTACGATAAACACTTTTACTTTTATAACTTTTAAAACTGAGACATGTTATAGTCAAAGTGTAACCAAACAAGGCAAAAATAACCATTTACTCATTTATTTAACTAAAAAAATAATGATACAAAATTAGATAAAGAAAATTTTGAATAAAATTAATTCAAAATACAAAACAGCGTTCAAACGTAGTTTGATTTCAAAAGAAGAAAAAATTAGATGAATTTTACATTAGAGTTTTTAAAATACTGTTGCGGCATAAAATTTCTATCATGACATCAAATTTCTTTTGAAAATTTCGACTGAAACTCTCATTACTTAACAATTACTGTCTAAGTGCAGTGAAATCAGTTGTTGGATTTTTTCAGAATATTTTCCAATCAAAAAATGATACGTAATTTTAATTTATACACAGGATTTCTTTTAATAACACTGCGTAAAATATTTTTATGCCCTGAACAACCAATATGCGCATTATAACAGTGATCAATGCATAATAAATAACCAAAAACACTCAAATATACAAAAAAAAAAACAATAAATAACCTGAATTTCTTTAGCCGGTGAAAAGTCTTAATTCTTCGTCGCCTTGTGCGTAATATAAAGCTCGTAACTATAAAACACGCAATAATAAATAAATAAGCATTTGTTGACAATGAACGTTTAATAATAATGATTATAAACCTATCAAAAGACATTCATTATTTTATAAACTAAACTTAACCATTGTTGTTTCCACTGTTAAAAAGTTTATGTAATAAAAATATGCGTCGATTTTTTTTTAAAATTTAGGTGCTCCTCAATTTCAATTCAAATTTAAAGTTCTTGGCGCAAGAAGAGGTGATAAAACAGTTATTGAATGCAGTTCTTATGGAAACAGGCCTATGAATTTCATTTGGCGAAGACAAGGAGTAATAGTTGATCCTATATCAGAACCCAGGTATTTAATAGATATTATTGTTATGATAAAATTTTAAAAAAGAAGTATCATTGTTTAAGGTTTGATGCCAAACTCGCATAATTCCACATCCAACACACACTTCTAAATCCCATAAAATATTATTGTATAGTTCACATTTCGCCAATTAGAGAAAATAAAACTGAAGATGAATCATTTATAATTGATGAAAATCGAGATAAAAAGTCATAACTAACATATTTTTTGTACAAATTAGTAATAGGCAACCATTCTGCAGAAGTAGTACGTTATAAGTGATAGCAGAATTATATTAGTTTACTATGAAATGAAACCATGCATTTCTGATATAGCTGGTACACGAAGCTCTATCACATTTTACTTCGGAGTATGTAGCTGCTTTCATAATACTATCAGCATTTCATAATGATTCAGCATTTATAAAAAATCCGTATTAATATTCAAATTAAAAGTAAAATGTTAAAAATTAAATGTGCCAGTAAATAATGTCGCCTTACTAGTGTAAATTTACTACGGGTATTATGCTTAAAAACTCCTAGTAGATACAAAAACATGGAATGTAGTTTCAATTTAGTACAAAAGCAGTTCAATTTTTTTTCAATTAAGATGCCTCAGTAAAAATTTCGTTAAAAGGTACAGTCTCTGTGAGTGCGCATTAAGAAAAGAAGTATAATCAGAATTATCAAAATAAGATAAAATTTACTGTGTAATTTTGCAGAAACATTTTACCGTTTAATTTTACCGTAATTTTTGCAGAAGTGCAATGATAAATATTTAAGTAAAATTAAAAATAACATCCAGTTTAACAATATGTTAAAAAATTTGATAAATATGGCAGAATTTCGTAATTTTATCATGATACCTTAGAGCATGGCATGCAAACAGTTTATTTGTTTGAATTTACTTTTCAGTTTTGCATCTTTATTAATGTGGTGGTAATAAGAACTATAATAAAAAAAAGCAGAATTTTTGGCAAATTTTTATCATATGAACAGAAAAATTAACAAATAAATGGTTTGTTTGCGGTGTATTTTGGATTTATTAACTGTTACCGTTTATTACCGTTTTATAATTATTGGTGCAGAATCCAGTACTCTGTGGGATGTTAACTAACATCGTGGACTTGTTTCTCTCGTAAAAATGACTAATTATTGAGTCTACCGATTCGTCTACTGTAACTTGGACATTACAAATAATACTTAATGAGATCCATGAATCTTAGTAATGATAAACTTTTCCAGAATGATAAGGCAACTTACCATCAGGCAAACATCGCTGAAAAAATGGTTTGAATAACATTTTGGAAAATTCCTGAAAATGGTTTGGCCATTTGAATTAATGATAATTTAACCGATTATATTCGGGATAATATGACCGATTATATTCGGGATACCGTTATGCTCGGGATGCTCATACAGGAAATCAAGAAATTTAAACTCTTTCGCCATATGGATGAGTTGTCCCGACCTCAAATCCTGCAGCTTAAAAAGCTTAATCGAGTGCATGCTATACCAATTAAATCCAGCTAGCAGGAAAGATCGAATATCTATTAATATTAGCAGATATCTTCTGATTTTGGTAATTCAGTTTGAAACGTTAATGCAACTGCATAGACAATAATGACAGTCTTAGTGGATAAATGTTCTAGGGGATATTTTTTTTAAATTTTTTTTGTGTGAAATATGTTGTTTCAGTTTATAGTAATTTATTTTTCTGTGTTATTGAGTTTTGGAGTACTCGTTCGACGAAAAAATCTCAGAGTTTTTTTTTTTTTTTTCGGAATCAAAGGAGGTTCCAAGTTCATTTGGCAACAAACAGGAGATGATGGATAATAGAAAATCTATCTATTGTCAACAAATTGAAATGCCAAATGTTATTGAAATGCCAAATATTTCGCGATTTGGAATTTTTACGTCAAAAAAGAGAAAAGAAAAAAAAATCTCCATTCCTTGTAGTCACCATTTGAATTTTAAAGCCGGCGTACTCAAAATTTATTCACATGTACACTTCAAAACTCTGCATCAAGCTATTCAGTTAAGAGTTATTCTTCCGAAATAAACAGAAAAAAAATGGTAAAAAACGAAGAATTTTATATTTTTATATAGAACGAACTAGTTTATATTTGTTTGATAATGATTAACTACTTATTTTACTTTTTAACTAATTTTATTACGTAATACCTTTTTTAAGTTAATTTTAAACTTAAGAAAAAAAATACGTCCTTTAATTTCATTTATGGAATACAAAGTGATCTGTAAGGCTTAATTTCATTTTTTTTTCAATAATGTTTCATCCGAGAAATGCTTTGAAATTAGAATGTATATATTCTAGAAAATTGCTTGTATTCATAGAAATTTTGACTGAAGAATAATGCAACGACAAAGAAATTAAATTAACAATTTCTCTACTTATAGATTTTTTTTGCTGCCTTGCTACTTTTGTTAGAATACTAAAGTTAGGAATAAAGGCATTGTCTGGAGAGTTTGTTTGTATAGTTAGTGTTTTAGAAGTAATTTAAAATTTATTTTAATCTTTTTCCTTAAGAGATTAAGTAGAATTTAAAATTTATCTCTATAATACGTGGAGTGAATATGGGCATTATAATTAAATTTTCTTTCTTAGTCTGAAGTTTTTACGATGTTTTAATTAAAGACTAATTATTCAGTTTCCTAGCTGTGGGAAAAATAATTAAGTTACGAAATAAAAATAGCTAAACAATGTCTAAATATTTTGTTCTGAGATAAATGGTACAGACAAAGGCATCTTGATAGGTATTGTCTGATAGAATAGTGAATAGATGTATTAGTAGTAATCAATTATTTATTAACCAAATGTTCACTGCAAAAAATGGTATGTATCTGAACAACGAAAATGGTTGCAACTTGCAACTACTTTATACCAAAGTAGTGTTCCACTTCACCCAGAACCAAAAATAGTTCCAGATGTCGAGAATATTCTTTTCCCCTCCTGAGGTAAAGTACCCGCAACCTGTGTTAGTCATTAAGTAGCACTGAAATTTTTAACTTCATTAAGATATTATGAGCATAAGAAAAGTTCCTTTTATGGTAAAGTATAAAACGAGAGCCAATAATTTAAGATGCATACATACAGTATTTCTTAAAATAAAACTAGATTGTTAATCAAACATGCACGCAGCACAGTGAGAATATAAATACGACTTCGATTTAGGCTTATCAAAGCCTAAGCGGATATAAAATAAATATTATGAAGTTATTTAATACAGTTTACAGATATTTAAAAATTAAAAAAATTAAAAATTAAAATCTATCCTAATTACGCAACTAAAATCAGTCATGTATTTTTTTGACGGTGAACTTTTGTTGCTGTAGGGATTGTTTAGAGGCGTGGAAGAATGCAACTACCTCACTTCAACACTTATTCGATATAAAAAAATGAAAAGTTAAAATCTATCCTAATCACGCAACTAAAATCATTCATGTATATTTTTGACGGTGAACTTTTGTTGCTGTAGGGATTGTTTAGCGGTGTGGAAGAAAGCAGCTACCTAGCTTTTACTCGATATAAAAAAATTGAAAGTTAACATATATCGTAATTACGCAACTAAAATCATTCGTACATATTTTTTGACAGTGAACTTTTGCTGCAGTAGGAATTGCATAGCAGCGTGGAAGAAAGCAGCTTACTCGCTTCGACACTAACTCGATATAAACAAACTATTGGCGATATCAAAAATAAGCTAAGGAAGTTTCCAAAAGTGAAAATAATTCTCTCAATCTGGTCTTGATATATGCCTTCATATTTATTTGAGTTTGTATTTAACTAAACCCTTTAAATTGTTTATGAACTTTCAAATCAGAATTTATTTGAAATAACCCCCAGTTTTCAAACCAATTGGTATTGCACTACATTTTTTAGAGCTTAAAATAGGGTTAACGCTGGGAAACACTTTTTTTCCTGTTCCATGAGATTTTTTAAATGGATATTCAATACTTTCTCAATACTGATTTCAAATCTCCAATCAATTTCTTTCTCCAAGCTTTAGTTTCTTAATGACATTTTTAGTGTATTTTTTGAAGATGCGTACAAGTTCAAAAATATTATATATATGGAAAGAGTAGTTCAAATATCGCGACAAACTTCTAGGGGAGTTGAAGAACATCATCAGGATTAAAATTGCATGGGAACCCATGCCCTGAACCACAGTCATACGCCGCTGGAGGAAAACCCTCTAGGAGAGAGAAATTCGCTGCATGAATCAATTAAGAAATACAAGAAAGATGTCACAATGTTTGACTACTGAAGAATCAGATTTTTTTTTTGTTTTCGCTAACTTGTTCGAAGGCTTTCTCTCTTCTAAGAGATGTTGTCGAGGGTCATTTTACTATTATGATATGTTTCTTTGAGTACTTCTAAATAAGTCATAATTTGGAAGAGCCCATAATCGCGTACGATGAACTTTCCAGGCATGGAGTATTATGCAATTTTTTTTTTTTTGATGATGGGTCCTAACTCCCCTATAAGTTTGTAGTAACATTTGAGAGAACCCTCTGCTGTATATAACATTTTTAAAAATTAACATTATGACAAAAAATATACTGAAACTAGTGGGCTGCGCCCCCTGCTTGCTGACGCTCGCCGATCCCCGAAAATTCAACTCACTTCGCTCGCTACAGCTTAGGTACATTTCAAATGCACAAAATTCGGAGAATTCAAAACAATCATTCAAATCCGCATAACAAATTTTTTTTTTAAAAAAATTACTTCTTTTTAGTAAATACTAAGTCATTAAAATAAATTTGAATTCAAACAAATGACATCTAATTCGTTAAACCTATTAGAAGTGTGCTATAGTATAAAATCTTATGATAAAATTTCTGAAACTGATATCTCTTTAAAAAGGTTAAAATTTAGGCTATAATTTCGTCTATTAAAAATTGAAATAAGTGAATTGCAATGGAAAAACCTGCATAAACAAATAAATTCTAGTAAAACAAATAAATTCGTGATATAAATCAAAAATCGTCAAATAAATTCGTAATATATAAATTCGTGAAAAAAAGCGCTTTCGACAAAGTACTAAAATAGAGATCTATCGACAAAGACTAGTCACTTCTGCCTAGCTTATGCTCTCTCTGGTTATTTCAGTTTCCGTTTTTAAAATCGCTATATGTTGAGCCATCTCAGCTAGATTTGGCATGTGACTTTTTTAGCGGCAATCATTGGTCGATTTTCTAGCGTTGCCATTCGGGGAGTTGTAATGAGGCTTTTTTTTGTCGCCGTGTAAGAGAAATATAGATACAGATGTCATTTAAAAGGAATTTGTAGCCTTAGAAACGGAAATAATTTCAGATTTGAAATCCCCACATCCAAATTTGGAAAGATAAAGTATTTATATAAAAGCGACAAAAAGTTGCCATCCTCCTCCCGATGTAATAGATTAGTGATAATAAGTAGAATAGGGATGAAAGATAAAAGTGAGGATAATAGAATGAGGACAACAGATTCTACGTACTTATATTAAAATACATTATTTCTTAAAAGAAAATTTAATAACGTTTACAATCTGGAAAGAATCAATGCCTGTGAAAAGTAAATATTGCAACCTTGTATCAATTAAATGAATAAACCATGCAATATTTGAATTATTCAGTGAACTGTTATTTTGAGTATGTTCGACTCAATAGAATTCTTTTTTCACTCTGAATAGCGTGAAAATGTCGAAATATGACACAAAGATATCTCCTTTGTAATCACTCTTTAACTTTATTGGAAGCTTTATCGGAAATTCAATTAGTGACAGAGCAGAAACATTTATCATATTTCTTAAGTGCTTGACGGTTAGTCGATATGTGTTAGCTAGGACAAAAATCACTTCATTTTCATTCAAGAAAACGATGTATGAAAAATACTTGTAACAACTTATGGAAAGAAAAGTCTGGAACTGTTTATTATGTCACGTATTGATTTATTGGTTCAAAATTATTTTCATGCTACTTTATGAAGTGGAAACAGTCAATTTGTTTCAAAGTTTCATTAACTTGTTTTTGAGTATAGTTAAGTGGGGTATAAGTATACGTTATTCACAGGGTTCTCTGAAATCACAGTCCTTAAAATATATAGTTTCGATTTTTGCAAGAATCAGTGGGACAAATTTTGCTTTAATCTGATAAAACAAACCTAAAACGTTAAAAAAATAACTGATTTTGCATGTTTTATTGGAGAAAAATAAGATTTGACGATGAAAATCTGTAGTTATAAAAAGTCGAAAGTCTTGCTAAAACTTTTATATTCTTAAAGCTTTGTATTATCATTTCTTAAAACAATGAATTTGTTTTCAAACTTCTTTCAAAACATTTTTAAGAGTTGGTAAAATGGCCTTATTTATGAAGTTTTTTTCTAACCAATTTTTTTATATACTTATTTCTTATTCTTGTTTAAAATATAGTCAGCTGAAAAAGCTTTTCATTCTCTTTTTTCTGATAGAACAATCCAAAATGCAACTTAATGATAAAATCACGTAGTTAGAATGCAGAATATCACGCTGAAATTTGGTATAGCGAAACACTGTTAAACCATAACCGCATTTGTGCCAAGCATCCTGTAAAAAAAAGGTGGTTGTTTTTTCTCCAAAACAAGAAAAAAAACTGTCACAAGAGTTTTATTAGCATAATTTATTTTTCAGCAGTAAAAATACTAATAATATCATGATTTATTAATAATATATATTTGAATCTGAAGACGAAGCACGTGCTTTTTTTGAAAACTAAAATGATAGATAACGAAAACAATAATATCTATTTAGTATGAAAAAAAGTATGCAAATACGGTCAACCCATTTTTTTTTATGTAGGTGTTTCTTATATATAAATTACTGTTTGTGATCATCTGTGCCTTGAAGTAAAAAGTATAGTCAGAACTACCAAATCATGATACCTTTTATAGTGTTTCTGGTTCGATGCGAGCACGAAAAGTCCGACAATTTTTACCGATTTACTTTGGTAATAATTTGTGTAAAATTAAAATAAAATATGGTTTAATAAAATATAAAATATCAGTATTCTGATATGGTTTTTTTTCGATAAAATATGTTTTTCTGTGATAGACTTAGGCAGTTTTATCATGATATCTTAGAGCTTGGCACAAAAACCATTCAGTCGGTTAAATTCACTTTTCAGTTTTGTATTTTTAACTTAATGTGTGATAATATGAACTATAATTTTGAAAACCAGAATTTCGACTCAACCGTTTCCGCAAGAATTATTGAATGACTGGTTAAAATATTGGTTTCATTAACCCGAATTATTGTTTTTTTTTTTTTTCAAAAATATTTTTACTATGCAGTATAGTAATGTTACTAAAAGTTCTTTCTCTGCATGAGTATCATGTAAACTTGATAATTATTAATGTGTGATCCCTTTTTTGTAGTTATTTTGTGACCACAAAAAGTGGTTGCACATTAAGGGTGAACATAAATAAAAAAGATAAAAAGATAAACTTACGAATTCGAATTCGGTACCTAATGGTATTTTTCATTTGATTTAGGTATAGGATTCTGGAAGAGGAGCTACTTGATGGAGATCGAAGTAAAATGATAATTGAAAAAGCAGAGCGAAAAGATTCTGCTTTATTTACTTGCACAGCTGTCAATGACTACGGAGAAGATTCCTTAAATATCCAACTAACAGTCCAAGGTAAGAGATTCAAAAACTATAGTTCAAGGAGTTTAATGAGGAATTAAAAAATAGAAAATATGAAGTCCTGAGGCCTACTTTACAGCTGAGATTTAAATTAACTGAAAATATTATATATTATTTAATGTATTTCAAATTAGTGAAGCAGTTTAGTGAATAATTCTGACTATGATAAAAACTCGTTTAGGCGTTTTCTTGAGACATAAAAATATTAGTCCTCAACGTCTCACATGTTCTATGCATAATTTGATGAAGGATCAAGAGTAATATTGCGAAAGGTATTAACGTGTTAAAGATCTAGTTAGACCAATGTCATGTGACACAAAAATATCAGTTCACAACGTCTCCACGGTCTATATATAACATCATTCGAGATCAGGAGTAATATTCTATAAGGTATTAACTTAATCAAGATCTTGTTGAAACAACGTCTTACGATTTAAAAATTTTAGTTTTTAACGTCTCACATTGTCTATGAATAATGTAATGAGGGATCAAGAGTAATGTTGTACAAGGTATTAATGCGATCAAAATCTCGTTCGGATAATGTCTTGCATGGGACAATGACTTGCGGGGTCAAATTACAATTTTCATATTATTTAATACTTTTTGACACTAACATGGTAGCCTTGGGTAAAACCTTAGACAATACCTTAGGTAAAAGCCTTACATTATTATAAAGATTGTTTTATAATGCCTCACGTATCTATCTTTCACGCATCACGTATCATTAGGACTATACTTTTGCATAATAAAATTTTTAATTTAAGCAACATGCGTCATTATCAATCAACTGATAGCGCAAAGTGTAATAATAAACGTCGACATGCAGTGTCAAAAAACAAATAAGTAAATTATAAATCCACGTGAATCCACTCTTATAAAAGAAATCACCACGAACAATATAGTTCTTTAAAATTTATTTATTCTTGTATGACTTGGCTTTTAGTTATCTCATGAAGAAAAAGTGTGGAATGATAGGTTTCTTTATGGATAATTTACTTGCCATGAGATATTTATGGACATAGTTGTTGAATAATATGTTTTAAATATATACCTATGCCATAAATATCATCGTACCAAATGTGAAAATAGATTAATTCCCATTCATAATGGACATGTGTAAGCTAATAAATTCTTGTGTTTCTCTGGAATGGAATCATCCGGAATAAAAAATGTAACGCTGACAAAAACTGAACACAATAATAAAGTAATTCTACATTTGCTGTTTGTAAAGGAGCAAAAGCAACTAACTTAAAAGAACTTTTAATCAGGTAATTGAATTTTTATTTATAAAATAGTAATATCTAAAATTGTCAAACACACACGAGGTTGTCTTAGGAAACAAAAGATATGCATTTTTTGCATGTTCGTATAACATTTATTTACTATATACTTTCTTTAATAAAATTACGTGTTTTACAGTTTCGATTTATAAAAGCTAAACTATGTTACAAAGGTACATTAAAACCCTACCGTTAGATGAAAACTTCTTGAATTCATTTTATTTTTCTGTTAACCTCACATACACAATTGTTTTACTTTTCAGATATTCCAGATGCGCCTCAAAACTTAGAGATTCATGACATATCTAGCAGAAATTTAAGGCTAACATGGAATAAGCCTTTTGATGGAAATTCTCCTATTCTGCAGTACACAGTTATGTGGAGAAATGTAAACGGTATGTTTATATTATAAAAAGGATATTTAAAAAATTAAATGATACACTGAGAAAAAAAGTATGATCAAAACTACTAGAATATAGTAAAATTTACCGTGTGTCTGGCTGTATAAGAACACCAATAGGATCAGTAATTATTACGAAAGTGCTTTGGTAATGATTTTGGTAAAATCAAAAATAAAATGTGGTGGTTTCATAATGTGTGATAAAATTTGGTAAAAGTAGAAAATTTTGTTAATTTTACCACGATTCCTTACACCATGTCATTAAAATCATTTCTTTGGTTAAATTTACTTTTCAGTTTTGTATTTTTACTAAATGTGCGTTGAAAAGCTCTATAATTTCGAGAACCAGAATTTCCTATAAGCCGTTACCATATGAACAGAAAAGTTATCAAATAAATGGTTTAAATACTGTATATGTTGATATATTTTTTTCTCAAGGAATAAAATAGATACAGTACTGTAATTTTACGAAATTTTTTTTCTCAGTGTATTTATTAGCATTTCTTTTTTTTAATTACATAGTATGCAAAAGAAGTATTTTATTTCCTATGAAAATAAAAACTACTAAATTCTTACGATTTACAATATTATACGTAGCATTGGCTTTTCAAGAGTAATGTTAAAATAAATATAACAAACTATAATATAGAAATAAGGTAACGTTATCAGAACTAAAAGGAAATGATGTTTTTGCATTTATTTTTTGCAACATTTATTACATTATTGACCACAATTTCACCATTTAGTTGAAGCTTTATAAAAAATAGAACTAGATAGTTCTATTTCCAACTAGAGTGCACGTGAAAGGCAAAAAAAAGCGTTCAAATTGAGTGTAGCTAATATTATTCTACTAATATCCTTTTGATTTTCGAATTGTCCGACAAATGAAATACAAATAAGTTCAAGAATTCGCTATAGCCACATTTTGTTTGTATTCAAAGACGGATTTAAATGACACTACCCACATTTGAAAATGCATATACTTTTTTACAGATGATAACTCAGCAGGCGGACCGGTGACAGTTCCTGGCTCGGAGACAACTGTAACCATCAGAGGATTGAAACCGAAAACTAGATATTTCTTCCGGGTCAAGTGTCAGAATTCTTTGGGGGAAAGTCAGTTCGGTGCTGAAGTGGCAGCTACTACACTCGAGGAACGTATGTATACCATATCCTTTCGCTCATGGAAAATTAAATGTAAAGAATAATAAAATTAAAGGCTGATTAATTTTGAGCATAAAAGAATGGCGAGATTAATTAATTTTGAATCTACTATTATATTAGCTTTATCTGACAACAGCAAAAATCTTTCCGGATATAAATAGTTGTTTTAGAACCTATTAACACGTTGAGCGCCATGCTAATTTTACATTTCTTGCCCGTCAGGCTACAACGGTAAATAACTAGAAACTAAATTTGCAAATATTAGACAGATTTTGCTAGTTTTTAAAAGGCTTAGCATGGCATATCTGAAAAAAGTGGTGAATTATATAAGCTTACGAATTGTTTAGAAATAGTAGTGGATGAAAACCTAGTAAATTGAAGTTATTATACAAAGAATCACAATAATTAAGCGTATAATAATCATGTTATACGCTGTCAGCCAGCTGTTTTTCGCGGCCTATCTGAAAGGTCAGGTTCAGCCACCGTAGGGTGACGCGGCCTAAATGTAATTTCAGTGTCAGCCACCGGTGGCTGACTCGGCCTAAATGGAAAGTCCAGTGTCAGCCACCGATGGCTAACGCGGCGCTCAACGTGTTAAGCAAAATGGAACAATTCATGTAGAAGAAAGCTTGTTGCAATTAAGAGTATGACAAGGCGTCATTGTTTTTCCCCAATCGAACGTAATTTCATACGAATCAGGAATTTGTTGAAGACAAAATGTTCGTTTCTGAACATTCTTTGACAACAAGAATTCAAGTAATATATAACTGAAGTGTTTTTAAACTACTGATATCCTATCATGACTGTAGTAGGAACTGTACCGCAATTTATATTCATTGCTGGGACACATATAAATAACAATACTCTTATGCAATAGTTTCACTGTAAATTTATTTATCAAAACGCAGTATTATTGCGCCCACAGCTGTGCTTTCTTTCCATGTTTGTCTACAGGAAACAACCGAATTTTAAATAGCTTATATAGTTATAGCTTATTGAAAAAATATCAAATTGTTTTAAATAACCTAATGGAAAAGCTTTTTTTTTTAAGTAACCTACGAAAGGATGTTTATGGTCGATTAATTTTAAATTGATGGGGGGGGGAGGCAAACGAAGAAATATGCATCGCCGTAGAAAAAAAAAATTATCTTTTGGTTAAGTTTTGTTTTCAATCATCATTTGCTGGATGAATTTGCATTTATGAACTGAAGTTGAAAAGTGAAAAAAAATCAAATTTGTAAAATTGCTTAATTCAGTACTAGCGTACAGATAAATTTCAACTCCAAAACAACCAATTTCGCCCAAGATATCAAATTCCCTTTTATCAAATTTTTCAGAATTTTTTTTTGAATAAAAGTAAGCGGGCCATAAAATTAGAAGACATGGGAAAAAAATTTTAAAATGCACATTTTTATGGTTCCTCCAGGATGTGCATTACTATGCATAAACGTATGAGAATTTCACTATGCAAATTTCTTATTAATTTAAGAAAAGAACACACTTAGTATATGTTTTATTTATAGATTGTTAGATTATCTATATGAAAGACACTAGAAAATATAGTAATAAGCTCCACTTTTTCCTTAGGTGAAAATTTCTGTATTAAATTGTTCCGACATTTTTTCTCTAGGTAGGTCCAAAGTTTTTTTTTTCAGATAGGTTATGATCATTGTTAATCAATCATGATCAAAATTACCAGAATATGGCAACATTTTCCGTGTTTCTGGCTCTATGGGAAGCTCAGTAATTTTCTACACAACTCTTATGTACTGATTTCAGTAAAATTAACAATAAAAAAAGGTTTTATAATGCGTGATAAAAATTGATAAATGTGGTATATTCATCATTTCTTAAAACATGGGATAAAAACCATTTATTCTTTTTAAGTTTGATTTTCAGTTTTGAATTTTTTACTAATTGAATGGTAATATGAGCTGTAATTTTGAAAACTGGAATTTCGGGTAAACTGTTGCAACAGGAATAAAAAAATAATGTATATTTTGGTTTTTATTATAAGAATTATGCTTTCTTTTCTTACCAGAAATGTCAGTACCATGCAGTACTCTAATTTTACCAGATGTTTTTCCTTGTATGCGTACATAGAAATCGCGGTGCTTCCCGCCCAAAAAAAAACAAGAAATGGCTTCCAGAACAATTTTAAAATATAGCTTGTCTTCATATTTTTCCTAACCATCATATGTATTTAGTGAAATCATTAGCAATTTTTTAAAATTTCCTTTGGTAAAATTGCCTTTGATTTTTTTTACAGCACCACGACACCCCCCTGAAAATATAAAGGCTACTGTTGTTTCTTCTCGTTCAATCAACGTTACATGGAATGTAAGTATTAATACTTTTTTTATTCATGGTGTTATAAAATAACCATTTTCATTATATATTTTTAGAATGTTTTTCAAAATTGATGCCAGAAAAGTATCCATATTGGGCTTCACGAACTAATATTTAAGCATAAAAATAATAAAAAAATGGAAGCAAAACCCTTATTTCATAATTCTATTGAGGGAATTGTGAGGTATAAAAACCATATTATAATTAGTAGACAACTGGAAGGAGCAAAACTTCGAAACAAAAATGTAGCACAGACAAAATTAATAACAAACTAAAACGAATAAAAAAAATTTTCTCAAAGGAACAAACGCTAAACAAATTGATGAAGAAGCGAACAATTCAAGATTATGACAGTTACAGTTGATAATCATGTTGCTCACCGTTTCAAAACTGAACTAATATTACTAAAATATTTGTAAAATTTAAAAAAATAAAAATAAATAAAAATAAAACTAAATTTAACACCTACCTGCAGACCAGAAAATGTTAAAAAACGGATGTAATCCAAACATAATTAAGCTATAACTTCATAACTTTTGATCCGATTCAATTTTTGTTTCGATATGTTAAATTAAATGCAAAGATATAAAATATAAAAAGGGAAAAATCGATTTCTTGATGAATTTTCGCTTATATGAAAGTTTTTCGTCGCCTTAAAGCTGTTTCAGGATTAATCAGGCAACTATATATATTTTTTATGGCCGAAATCGAAAGCTGACTTAGTTCTGATAATTAGGTCTGCTTTCTATTTAAAAAAAAGAAAAAAAAAACAAAGTATTGATTGCTTGTGATGAATCTTGAGACATGCATTAGAAAAAATTATATGTAAGGAATATATANTCTTGATTTATGCAGCATCCGTTGTCTGAAATTGTAACTTGCATTAGTTTTCGCATGCTGCAATTCAGTCTAGAACAACTCTTTAAAAAGATTGCATAAAAGTAATATATTTTCTCTCGATGATGATGGGGCTTGAAGCCAAGCTTAGAAGTCTATTAGTATTTGGTTTAGAGTTAAATTAAAACAGAGAAAGGGTAAGATACGTTAAACTTTGAAAGCTGCGTGGGTCTTTTTTAGACCCAAATCAAAGTTTGCAATTCTATATCTGCACAACTGCTTTTCAGAGCTTCTAATAGCTTATAATATTTCGCTTTAAACTATCATATACTAAAACTAATTGAATTTGTAGTTTTTCTTTAAAAAAACGACTGACTTATCCCTGCGTTTTTCTTCTTTTGTTTAAAGGGAAAAATGCATATTCTGATATCTGTAATGCTTTGTTTCGAAAATGTGATTAAGGTAGAACAAGGTAAAGATCCATATATTTATAAGTGGGAGAACAGCCATTCCCTAACACATTTTGCAATAAATAGACACACTAAAACTATATCTATCTATCTATATATAGTATAATGATACTTATATATATATATATATATATATATAAGTATCATTATACTATATATAGATAGATAGATATAGTTTTAGTGTGTCTATTTATTGCAAAATGTGTTAGGGAATGGCTGTTCTCCCACTTATAAATATATGGATCTTTACCTTGTTCTACCTTAATCACATTTTCGAAACAAAGCATTACAGATATCAGAATATGCATTTTTCCCTTTAAACAAAAGAAGAAAAACGCAGGGATAAGTCAGTCGTTTTTTTAAAGAAAAACTACAAATTCAATTAGTTTTAGTATATGATAGTTTAAAGCGAAATATTATAAGCTATTAGAAGCTCTGAAAAGCAGTTGTGCAGATATAGAATTGCAAACTTTGATTTGGGTCTAAAAAAGACCCACGCAGCTTTCAAAGTTTAACGTATCTTACCCTTTCTCTGTTTTAATTTAACTCTAAACCAAATACTAATAGACTTCTAAGCTTGGCTTCAAGCCCCATCATCATCGAGAGAAAATATATTACTTTTATGCAATCTTTTTAAAGAGTTGTTCTAGACTGAATTGCAGCATGCGAAAACTAATGCAAGTTACAATTTCAGACAACGGATGCTGCATAAATCAAGAATAGTTCATTTCTGTAATTCAATCAAGTATATATTCTGTGAAACGAATATTTATTCTATACTGAAACTAATGACCAATCAAAAATGTTGTAGTTCTTCACTCAAACGTTTAAATTGAAGTCTTAATCTAGCTCATTATAGATCATAACACGGTCTTAGAATTGAACAAAAAAAATTTTAAAAAGCCAATTAATTCTAAAAAAGGCATTAAAAACCCCTTTTTTTTTAATTTTTTTGTCCGAATGGTGTATTGGGGTATATACAGGATAATTACAAAATAATTTAGCTAACGTATAAACATTTAACGAGTACACAATTCTATAGACAGGATTAAAACTTCGCATAAAAGTATGCACTTGAAGTATTTCATCAAAAATAGTGATTAAAAAGCTATCAAGCATCCATGGTTTATGTAATACTGACAGAAAGCCAAAGTAGTCAAATGGTAAAAACAATATTTTTTGGGAGTGTAATCATTATATTAAAAACTAAAACTTAGAAACATATAGTATATTTTTAGCGTGAAAAACATCTGCACTATTTGAAGCTGAGAAGAAGAGTAATTTAAATTTTTTTTCATGTGTTGGTAATTTACAAGGAGAGAAGAATTTCTGGTAAAATGACAAAACTGTATGGAAATAACAGTTCTAGTGAAAAAGAAATATCATAATTCTGGTTAATATGTAGCGTATCTACCACTACAAAATTACAACTACAATTCACAAGTATATAAGACATGTTAACTCGACTCTATGTCGGGGTACCTTTTCATAGATGACGGCTGACATGGTCTGTAACTACTCTCCCCACAAATAAAACCAAATATACGATATTTGAACCATACGTTATGTAATTTTACCGTTCATATGGCAACAGTGCCAGAAAATCTGGTTTTCAAAATTATAGTTTTTATTATCACTCATTTAGTAAAAAATATTAAACTGAAAAATAAATGTAACCGACTAAATAGTTCTTACGTCAGAATCTAAGGTATTTTCAAACATTACTAAATTTTACAATATTTGCAGATATTTATCATGTATTTTAAACCCTTATTTTATTGTTTATAAAATCCTTAACGGATCGGTAAAATTTGCTTTGCTTTTTGATGTTCAATAGAGCTAGAAATATTAATAAACTTTACTATATTCAGGTAGTTTTAACTATATTCATTTCTCCGTGTATAAGCACCCTAGTTATAAAATATGTTTAAAAATTAAATTTTTATTCCAAGATTTTTAAAAATTTCTGAATGATTTAAGAAAAAAGTGAACTGATTTTTCACAAAAACTTGTTGACACTATATTTATTGCATTTTAGATGCCGCAACATGAAGAAGGTGGTAACATCGAAGGTTTCTACATTGGGTACAAATTATATGGAAGTTCTGACGCCTATACTTTCAAGCCAATAGAATCTTCTTATGGGAGGTTTCAACAAGTGCTATTGAGTGATCTCAACAGGTTTACGGAGTATAGCATTGTTGTTCAATCTTTCAATTCAAGAGGCGCAGGTCCACCTTCGGAGGAAATTATGTCAAGAACATTGGAATTCGGTAAGTCAATAATATAAGTATAAATTAAAATTACTAAGACAAAAATTACTTATAAAATTAATCTCAATATAAGATAAAAATTAATAAAGGTTGTGATGCCAGTATAGGCATCACATAACCTCTCTCAATAGATAGCTACGAAAAAGATTTAAACAGACCTCAAAACAACTTGGAGGTCCAAAAACATAACCTGCAAATCTTCAAAACAACCTCTCTGTAGCAGGTTGCTACGAAGTTGATTTAAACCAACCTTGAAACAACCATGCATCACAACCATAAAGGTTAAAACTACCATAAATCTGGAGGAAAAAAACAACTACACCTTGATTATAAGCCTTGGGAGGTTGATTTCATAAAGTTGTTTTTGTTGACAACTTTAAATCAACCTCAACAGCTCAAAACAACTTCAAATAAACCTCAAAATTGCCGAAATGTTTGCGAGGAATGTGTTTCCTAGGTTTTAAAATTTCATTAATTTTACACATTTTATTTTTTTAATCCTGTTATAATTAAAATAAGCCAATTATTTAATCTTTATCACATTTTATAAGAAAGCGAATATAAATGCTTCTATTCTCATCTTAATTATCAATGTAATGTCTAACTTTTTTTATTCAATACAAATGTATAACTCAACAATTCAATGTTTCGAGTAGTCGAATATCATTATTATATTCAACATTATTTATCTTTTAAGCCACTACAGCAAAAAAAAGTTACGGTTTTAAGGTTATATTAAAATCTAACGTTCTTCGTAGCGATTAAACTGTAGCCAAATTAATAAAAATTAATATTTATTACGCGGGGCAGGTTTTGTGTTTGGTTATGACATTTATCGAGAACTCACCTACCTTGGATCTTTTCCATTGATCCAAAGTGTCCGTTAGTAACTATGAACTGGAAATCGAAACTTCTTGGAGTTAAGACTGGGAGGGGTGAATGTCTGATGGTCCTATAGTCTTACTGTATAAAAGTTTAACAAAAACTGCATTAAAATAAGGAGCATTCTTCGTCGCAATAAAGAGATGTTGCTTTATTTCCATTTTGCTATTATAAGTATAGCCATATTTGTTTCGTTCAGCTTTAATAATGGACCAAACTAAAATGAAGAAATTTTTGTTTCGAAATATCTCTGCATTAATCTCTATTTCAGTACCAACTCACTGTACTGCGACTTTACACCAAACTACAATAATGCGGCCATAAAGGCGCAAATAAATAATTAATAAAACTATAAAAACTATTATAACTAAATTTGAATACTTCCGTAAAACTGTTTTTTTTTTCACGTCAATCATCTGCATTTCTAAGACATTTCAATTTTGAACTCAAGTTACTTAAATTCGAACTTGAATATACGAACCATTCATAAATAGTTGCAATTTTTATAAATACATTTCCTATTGAAAATGTATCAAACAAGTTCTTGCTTTATGCTTTTTATTATTTAAACATTTTTTTTATTCGGAAAATTTAATTTTTAATATATTTGTTTATCATTTATTTATTCTTAGATCCCCCCGGTGTGCCAGTAATTAAAACTTACTACGCAACAGCAACAACAATCAAAGTTTCCTGGGAACTCAACATAATCCCTAGTGCCCCCGTCACGGGTAAGTATCTTAGAGAACATGTAATGAAATTACACTGTAAATATGTTAATATTTTTCGTAAAGGCAGTTGCTTTAAATAATTACAAGTCAAACTTTTATTTAAAAGAAGTTAAGTGTCTCTTTTTAACTTGCTATACTTGAACTTTAGTTATTGGAAACATTAAATTTGTTTGATGTGAATTTCGTTCTGTGCTGTAAAATATTTAATCATTAAACTTCAGAAAGGAAGCAATGTTTAATGAACAATGTAAATAAGTGATAACGAAATGTATTTTTTTTTTTTAATATAATCCTGTAAGCTGATGCACACTTTATGATGATTGCACACTTTTTGATGATGATTATACACTTTATTTTCCTGATTTTTATTCTTTTTTTCCCTTTTTACGGAATTTAGTTTTTCAGATTTTTATTATTGTTTAGTTCGGATTTTTATTATTATTTATTATAACTCCTGGTGGCAGAGTAATATCGCTTCGCGCTGCCTTGTCATAGGTCCTGGGTTCGATCCTTGGGTCGGGCAAGGTTAACTCAGCCTTTCATCTCTTCAGTGGTTCGATAAATGAGTACCAAGCCTGCTAGGGAAGTAAACAATGGGGGTTCCAAATTTGACTGACCACCTAACCGGAATATCTGCTCCTGCACCCCAGAGCCCAAGGTCATGAAAACTGAGATGGGTACAGTAGGCCTTGGCCCTCTATGGGCTGTTGCGAAGCTGAGTTTAGTTTAGTTTCAGTGAAATCGTGTAAGCTGATGAAATGATTATATATTTTATTTTCTGGATTTTTAATATTTTTTTCCTTTTATTCGGAATTTAGTCCTTCGGATTTTTATTATTATTTATTTTATTTTTCCCTTTCTTCACTGTTCTGTAATTTCTTTCTATGTTTTCTCTACATTTTGAACTTATTTTATGAGTTCTATTTACTTGCAGCTTATGCTTGCGGTAAATAAAACTTATTTTTCTTAATTTTCTCCGCTTTCTATTTTATATATAGTATATGTAGTATTTTTTTTTTAATTCATATGGTAGCGGGTTTCCTGAAATTACTGCTCAGAATTATTGGCTCAGGAATATAGACTTCAAAATTATAGTTTTTATTAACCCACATTAAATAAAAAATACAAAACTGAAAGTAAATTTAACTGAATTTACCAAATTTGAAATTTACTAAATTTAACCCACATTATAAAATCATGTTTTATTGTTCGTCTTTCCAAAATCATTACCGAAGAATTTGGGTAAAAATTATAGCATTTTTTGTTGTTTCCATGAAGCTAACAACAGTTTAAATTTTATTATATTTTAAGAGTTTTACCCATACTTTTTTCCGTAGTGTACAATGCAGATCACACAGGAGAGTAGTTTTAACGAAAAACACCTATGATTTCCATGTTAAAAAATGTATACAGTGGGAAATTAGTTAATTAGTTTAATAGTTGGAAATTAGTTTGGTAAAAATCCAGAAACTTCCAAAGTACCTGTCTGGAAACAAATGTGAGGAACAGTGGTATAAAAAAACACCATTTTCGTAAAAGTGTTGCTTAGCCCTACATTGCCTTAAGCCCTTCAGTTACCAAAATATTTTGCATTTTTAAAACAATTTTTTTTTCTAACCACATTTCAAAGATTGTTACATATTCAAAATACAACGGTACTTACTCTTCAAGCAAGAGAGTAAGTACCGTCAGAAAGGGACCAAATCATTCTGTATTACAAATAATGGTAATTAAAACAAAACGCCATTTTACGTTGAGCGGGATTTTGCGCAAGCACTCAAAAACATTGTATTAAAAAGCTATTCTCACTTTGTTTAATAAATTTAGATATATTACAGAAAAGTTAATTATTTGTATCGAAATAAATTTGACGAAGATATTTTTTTTCCTTAAATATAAACTATGAGGAATTTGTAATCTTCATTCAGCATATATATTTACAGAAATACTAGATGTACAATTAGAATGCTTTTACTTAAGCCAACTTTCAAATGCAGGTTATGTTTTGCATCATAAGCTGGAGGATCAGAACTGGCATGATACGCACTTAAATGGAGATCAATCTGTTTATACACTAAAAGATTTGCAGTGTGGATCTACTTATTACATATACTTAGTTGCCTTTAATACTGTGAGCCATGGTAACAGTAGTGAGATTATATCTGCAAAAACAAATGGAAATGGTAACTATGTATTTCCTATGCACTTCTTCTTCATGCTTTTCTTGAACTTTTTTATTATAAATTTTACTTTCTACTATATTTTATTAAGAATTTTCAAAATTAAGTATTTTTATGCAAAAACGAAATATTTATGTCCAAAGATTCATGTGTGCCCTGCAAGAAATAGATTCTCAAATTTCAAGAAACCTTCTTTGACGAAACCATTTCGCGGTATATGCTCGGAGCGAACATGTCGACAAAGTAACGGAATTACTAACTTCACTTTTTCGAGAAAAACACTTAACACCTCTAGTGCCTAATTCTTTCTAGTCTAACGTTTCTAGAATTTACTTTATCGAAGGCACCATATAGCTGGATTAATGTCCCCTTTAATCCATATAGCTTAACACAAGAAAATCAAATAGAACCAGCGATTTAAATAACCCTCAAGCTCCAAGCGCAATATTAACTCGGGATATTCCTGGTACGTGATCAATATGATCATCACATAGGCCTGCCGGCTTATTTCGTCATTTTATTTTCTAGTGTTCATCTTATCTTCGTCATTCTTGTAAACATTTTCCCACAATGCACTACAATGAGGTTACGGGTCAAGGGAACATTTTCGTTATACATTTTAGAGTTTCCGTTGTGTCACAAACCACGTGATTTCATGACAAAATAATTCTCAAAATTAACAAAATATAGCTCAAAGATCACTAAATCTTTAAAAGTGAGAGTTTTATTTCTGAGAATCAGGAAATACTTCTAAGAAAAAATAAAAATACAATGAAATATAACTGTTATAAATCGTTGACTATTTCTAGGGTATAAAACAGCGAACTCCCCATTAAACATAAAACTGAAAGAACTATTATGTTCTAGACGAAAAAGCTAAGAATAAAGGGGAAAAAAATCTGAGCTAATTTAGTAAAAAGAATGTAATGTTTTTCTTAACAAGACACTGAAAAAGACTCTAGAAATAGCTTTCCAATAAAATACTAGACAATGACTGTTTTTTGCTTTCAGCATTCATTTATCGATCTAAATGTTGCATTTTTAATATCTGCGAAAAAAGCATTTCCTTTACAAAAAGGCTATAAAATTGTTATTACAGTTCTAAACGCAGGACTGAAAAGGTTTTCGAGTAACTAATATAATGAGAAGAAAATGAAGATAAGACCTATGATAAATGAGTTTTGTTCAGTAATTATTATGCTGCTTTTTTAGTTAAGAAGTTTGGAGAGACGTATTATATTTTGCCATAAGATTTTATTCCGTACTGAAATTATGGAGAACAATAAATTTAATGGATAGAACATTTATTTTACAACATACGAAATAAATACGTGAACATTTTTTGGCCAAACATAAAATACTAGAAAAAGTGCTTTAGATAATATTTAATTAATATAAAAAAGAGAAACATATGTTTGCAAATTTTTATTACTACTACCCATGATGCATTTATAAACTTATACTCAAATAATTAAAAGTGATTTATAAGTTAAGCGTAAATGTTTTAGGTACTTAATGTAACGCTGCTTTAATTTTTATACACATCTTATAAGAAAAATTTAACGCAAAATGCATTTTAAAGCTGCAAAAATAAAGTGTTAAAATATTTTCTCCATCTAAAATTACACTTTCTGTATTAAATGGATGTTTTTAATTTTTTTCTTGACAGCTCCTATAGCTCCAGATAAAAGAATGCTACTGTCTGTCAACAAAACGACTGTAACTGTAAATTTAAATAGTTGGCACAATGGAGGATGTCCAATAACATTTTTCATAATCCAGTACAAAGCTGCTGGTCATCAGGAATGGACTTTGGTCAGCAATAATATAATACCAGAGCAGCAGACTATAACCATCACAGATCTTAATCCTGGAACTTGGTATTCGATCCTAATGACCGCTCGTAATGACGCTGGGGCTACCGATGCGGAATATGTTTTTGCTACTTTGACATTAACTGGAGGTAAGTTAGATATGATATAAATTAAGTGGGTATTAAAAATATGTTATGGATATTGTTATGGTTTAAGATAAACCTAGGAGTAACAAGTTAATGAGGGGATTACTTGTCGGCAGAGAGTCCCGAAGAATTTCGAATAATTCCTCATTTTACTGGATGAAATAAGATCTCAATAATCCTGGTTGGTACAATCGCGTAGAATTTCAAGCGTTTCCTCATTTAACCGGTTGAAATAAAATCTCACTAATCTTAGTCGGTACAATCCCGTAGATTTTCACACATTTCCTCATTTAAACTGTTGAAATAAAATCTCACTAATCCTAGTCGGTACAATGCCGTAGGTTTTCAAACATTTCCTCATTTAACCGGTTGAAATAAAATCTCACTAATCCTAGTCGGTACAATCCTGAAAAATTTCAAACGTTTTCACTTTTAACCGGTTGAAATAAAATCTCTCTTATCCCAGTAGGTACAATCCCGTTGATTTTTAAACACTTCCTCATTTAACTGGTTGATTTAAAATCTCATTAATCCTAGTCGGCACAATCCCGTAGATTTTCAAACATTTCCTCATTTAACCCGTTGAAATAAAATCTCACTAATCCTAGTCGGTACAATCCCGTAGATTTTCACACATTTCCTCATTTAAACTGTTGAAATAAAATCTCACTAATCCTAGTCGGTACAATCCCGTAGGTTTTCAAACATTTCCTCATTTAACCGGTTGAAATAAAATCTCACTAATCTAAGTCAGTACAATCCCGTAGACTTTCAAACATTTCCTCATTTAACCGGTTGAAATAAAATCTCACTAATCCTAGTCGGTACAATCCCAAAGAATTTCCAACGTTTTCTCCTTTAAGTCGATTGAAATAAAATTCTACTAATTCTAGTCGGTTAAAGTCTGCAGTTATGTTAGAAATGTTGAAATAATAATATGTTAAGAAAAACATGACGCATAAATAACCCTTGTGTGGTACAATACCTGAAAGTCTTGTCCATTGCTAATATTTAGTATTTTTATGTTTTTTTTTCTCCTCGATACTTTGAATAATGGATTTAATTCACTCAATTTATTGACAAATTACATTTAAATCATTTATGTAAAGAATTACTAATATGCTGCGAAATTAATATTCCAAAGTAAATTTGGATCGAAAATTAAATTAAATGTATTGTTAATTTAGAACTAAAGACACTTAGTTACTCTACGTAAATATATAAATTAAAAGTAGAAAAGTGTAGTAGCCTAACTCTGTTACTTATAATTTACTTTGAATGATTGTTCCATTAGTACAATATCCGAGCATAGTAATTTCAAATTATTTTTATCACGTTAATAATTCCAAGGGTGATTTCATATTTAAATAATTATTTGACATGCACTCTTAATTTAAAGTAGCCATTTATCATTTCAAACGGGAAATATTTATGGTACAAAAGTTTATTTTGTTCTAGAATATCCACCCCGTCCTTCAGAAATGAGTGATGTAAATGGTTCATTCTACCGCCATTTAACGATTACAGTTCCCGTAATCAGCTCGACCATTGTTCTTGTTGCTGTCCTTTGCGTGGTCTGCATCATCACCAGGCGCAGAACATCCGGCAGAACTCCGCGAACTCCTGATGGTAGGTTTGTTCACAATTTAATTCAGATTGAATTGAAATAAAATTATAGTTGTTGTGTGGGTGTTATACATAATCGCACATACGAAAAAGAACGATTTAGTAAAAAAAATAATAATTTTTTTCACCTTCTTCTAGAGTGAATAAAGTTTTAACACAAAATTTTACCTTTCTTTGGAGATATTAATAAATAGAATGATATTGGTTTGTTTAAAACATGTCATATATTTCCCTTTATTCAGCATTAGTAAAATAAAAAATTTTAATTCTTAAATTTACAAAAAATGCATCACCTATGCATTTTTTGTAAAATTTCATTCTAAAATTTTTTGTAAAATTTCATTCTAAATTTGTCACTGTTAAAATTTTCATTCTAAAATTATGGTAAAATAACTGGAAGCTATCTGTCCATCTTATTAACCGTAAAGTTTAAGGTAAAGAACATTTTTTTTCCTTTATGGTTTTGAAACCATTTTCAAAAAGTATGGTTATAAAACCATGAATACAAAACTATACGGTTTTTCAACCATTTACAACTAGCACTTTTCAAAAATGTAAAGAAATGCTAATTATTTAACTAGACATAGGAGCTCCGCTTTTCGTAAGGTAATGGGCATTGGAGAGTGCCGGACACTGGAAATTCTTCATATGTTGAAGGGAATGGGGCAAATACTGTGGTGTCAACACTAGGACTCGAACTCCAGTTCTGCCGGTCATGAGATTGACAGATAAGCCTGCCCAGCTATGATATGCACGCAATTGCAAAGAACTAAGTAGCTTCATTAGGTGGTTCTAGTTAGTGCGATAAAATTCTGGTTGTTTAACCGTATTAGGTGAAAGCAGTAAATAAACAGTTTTTCTCACAATTATCAGTTTGATTACCATTTTATTTTCTGTTATTTTACCGTTTTGATTAAATATGGTAAAAAACCATTCAATAACTTGTTATTTAACCATTTTTTTCCGAGAAATTTCTAACAGTGTAGGTTAGTCACTTTACTTGATTTCCACGTATAAAGGGGCTCGTTAAGCGGCATTTTTAGTAAACCTATTAAAGTAGATAAATAGTAACACACATTTCAATGATAAGCAAAGTTCCATGACCTTAAAATGTAGAGAGCAAGATTAATCAAAAAAAAATTAGTCTCATTCGTCTAGGTCATAAGCCTAGTTCCCTAAATAGATCATCAATATTTCGTGTTTGTCGATATATATCTCGAACTATTTTCGTGATATATAACATATATGCCACTAATTAGCAGTTTCGTATAATGTAAAACATTTTTTTTTATTGGTGAGTAAGAATTTTCAATATAAATTAATAGTAATTGAAAGAATGAAATTATCAGACATGTGGAGAAATAACACAGACGTATCCTTAAATTTTAAACAACAGTTGAAAATTTAATTTTCTGTAAAAGTTCGAGTGCCTTGTGAAAAGAATTAATATAAATTATTGCAAAAGTTTTCGGTATTTGATTTAAATGTTATGTTTTCAAACAGAAAAGGGAAAATATTGAACGTGAAAGCCTATCTAATGTAACCCCTGTTCATTTCAAATGCTTGCCAGATGTTTGAAAAAGAACGATTAAGAGAATTAAATTTGAATTGGTTTATCCCTTAACAATCGACAGCTCTAGAGAAGTATAATTTACTGAGTGAAATATTTAAAGAAAATGGCGCGCAGTGTTTTGATGAAGATCCCGTATGTATCGATCGAAACCTTGCTATTGTTTTAACCGTATTTTCTATTCGGTGTCACAGATTGTTTCAACCGATTTATTTCGAATCGACAATTTAAAAAGTATTCATATTTATTAAAAAAAAATATTAAAATAGTTTGAAGTATTTTTTAATGTTTTTATAAAACAGTCTTTTAATATTTTTATAAACTTCGCTTATATGGTGCTTTCAAAAAATAGATCAACAATACCTCCCTTTAAATACCACGATGGCGTAAAGTTGCTAATATGTGCTGGGCTTTGGAAATTATGTATAATATTTTCATGACATAACGGATAGTCTAAATAACTAAACGATTTCAACTATACTATTTTCCTAAATTTATTACTTAAGGTTAACTATCTAAAGTTAACAAAAGTTAGGCATCTCGCACAAGTAGTGAATATTTAGCGCACATAGCATTAGAATTCAAAACTAGCAGTAGTTAATATTTGTTCTCAACCTTTGGGTGTTTCCTATAGTGGATTTAAATTATTACACCCCGTCCGTTTGTATAATTTACGATACGTTTTTGTAACTCTAGATGATGTTTCTTTTTTATTCTTATTGAACATTTTGGCTCATAGGGCTCAAAATAAAGATAATAAAAATGAAATATTAAAGCTCATTCATTCACACTATGAGCCGTTGTCTGAATAGAAAAATGAAATGAAACATCATCCATGCATGCCCAAAACTCTTAAAAGTCTCTTATTTTTAATGTTTAATAAAGGTAAAATCATCTTTGCTGATTATTTTTGTTAAAATTTTGTTTTGTTTCAACAAATTCATATTATTATGACATTATAGTTTTTTCGGAATAAAGTTTTGTTCAGACATTTCTTTTCAAAATTATTTCCAGTGCAATCTTAATGCAAAAATTAAACATTGCATGTGAAGCCATCAATCTTCAGCCAAATAGTGGAAACGTACATGTGGAAACTCACCATTATTTTTCGGTCTCTTTTACTTCAATTTTTTCGAAAACTATGATTTATACAATGATTTTTCCATTGGCAGGAACTAGTTCAAGAGACCCTTCAAAACCTGACAGCATGCCACTATCCGTGACATACGACAGCAGCCAAGAACCAACTTATTATCCGTCCCCATATGCGACAAGCAACACTGCTGGTTATAACCGAGAGCAATGCTTTCAGTCAAATCATCAACAGAATACGGGGACGATTGGCAGTAATAAATGTGGATATTCATACGATGTACCGTATCTTCAAAGAAGGGTAGGTATGCAGTATTATCACAGTAATTTAAAGTTATATCTATTTCATTTAATTTAATACAGAACATTTCGGTCTATCGAATATTTTATTTTATTTTATAACTGTCGTTGAGCAGTCAACCCTATTTTTGGTTTATGACTATTAATGTTCAACTTGGTAGCCTTGTAATTTTGAACCCAATCCAGAAGTCAGGAGAATTGGATCAAGTATTGGGAGAAGTTTACCTTCGTGGAGGATTTTTTGATGGGACAAACCCTCATTTGGGTTACATGGAGAGGATAACCACGAAAACTTCCCACAATTACCTTGATGGCAAGGGGAATCTGACTCATGATCCGTCTATCACTAAGGATATTTTACGTCAGTTCTGTAGTCGGTGCGATCCGGGTACGGACTTACTTCGTATGAACCAGCCATCACCGGAAATCGAACCCAGTTCACCACATTAAAAGGCTCTATCCCCTGAGCCACTGCGGCTCTCCATCGAATATTGTCTCAAATGAGTTAGTTTTAAAATAATTCTAATTATTTAACTAATGTAACTAACCAAAAAAGTTGTAAATCATTTCTTCACTAGTTGACTACCCATTCCTTACACATAGTAAAAAATTAAATAATCATCACTAAATTGGTATTCATCAACTCATCATGCAAAAAACTGTGAGGCATATACCAAGAAAATAGATAAACATAAAAAATTATTTATTTGTAACTTTTTTTGCCTTTTCAGGAGACTTTATTTCTAAATAAAACTAAACACAATTTCTAAAGTTCATCCCATACAAATAAAAATTCATATATTTACTAGGCATAATGCTATTGCTTAAAGCTAACTTATTGTCCATATTTACCACAATCAAAATATTTTTTCCGATACTTATTCTAGCGGGAGCCGTTGCATCTTGCTACCACAGTATTTACATTATGTACCATGATACCAATGCTTAATATCTTTATTAGTAAAGTACTTATTAGAACAACATATAGTACCGCAATACCATTAATACCTATTTTCTGCATTAGTGAGAATGATTGATGCCAATAAGAGTATGTCGTTTTTTGCGATCCTTCGAAACGAGTAAATACTTTTCCTCCATTATTTTTGCTTTTTAGTACATAACATAATTTTATTTCTAATTCAATTACCGTTGGTTTTAAATTGCTTTATGTTAGAAAAACTCGTGTCGAAAGAGTAACTATAAACTAAATACATATGCGGTTTTACGTAAATTAAAAAAAAAATACTGATTAAGAGACATATCCCACATGTGTCTCCACGTTCACTTCAATCATTGGGCTTATCTGCTATGATGAATAAAAAAAAATATTATGACTGTACAATAAACTCCCTTTCAGAGAAAATGGCTTTAGATTACTACATCCTTCTCAGGATAAGCTACGTCAATAGCACGATCTTTAAAATATTTCAAAATACCGAATTGTTTACCATTGATTTGAAATTTATCAGTGTCATACAAACACTTTTAACAAGCATATAATCTAAACACGTGTTTCAGATAAATGTAAAAATAATAATTTTGTGGTTGTAATCACATACCTTTTCTCATCGATCCTTCGTAACCTGCTGTAATGAATAAAAAATAATTAAATACTTTATAAGAATGGACAATAAACTTCGTTTTTGAAAATATAGAGCTTTGCGCTAGTAAGCACCCTGTTGTATTCTTTAAAATATTGTTTTTTAAACAAAAATGTTTTCACCAACAGTACGGTAATTTTGTCTGAACTTTTTCTCTGTGTGATGTTCATACATTTTTATTTATTTATTATTTTGAGTGCAGCACTTTGAATGGAAAAAACTAAATAAAACTGAACACTGGAGTGACATAAAATGAACATGAAATAAAAAAGTATGTAAGTAGGTAATAAAATAAGTGTCAACGACTGGAACTTACAACAAGACGTGAAACAGAAATACAATTCGAACAGACACGCAAGTTAGTGAAAAAGAAATAAAGCGAAATATGCAGGCGTTTGATAGACGTTGGACAAAATAGATAAATTTCTCGTTTTTTAATGGACGTAGTGAGCTAAAAGTAAAGCACGCAATTCATTTTGTTGAAACAGAAATCTTAACGTTTTATTGTCACGGAATTTTGTAAAATGAGCAATAATCAAGGTAAAATGTGCAGTTTTATGGGTAAGTGAATTTTGTCATAAAAAGAAGAAAAGCAAATTTTTCACAATGTTGCTAAATTAAATAAACTCTAAACTATTAGGTAGAAGAATTAAAGATAACTCATTTGAAAAGTTTTATGTTATACATTTCAGAAATAATAGTATTTGACAGTATTTAAAATAAATTTAACTATTTTGGAAAGTCTAATTCATCTTATAAAATCATTCCAACTATAAAGACCTTTTTAATTTTATTATTGTATCAGAAATTTGGACAAAAATCATTAATAAATCTAATTGAAATAGTGCATATAATAAATTTAAAAATATTGAATAAGCAATTAAACTAATAAGAAGAGATATATAATATTATATTAAATTAATAAATGATTCAATATGATTAATTTTTTAAGTATTTAAAACAATGAGCTATTAAATTAATTAAAAATATACAATTATTTTAAATTAAAAAATTTGAAACAGATTTTAAAAAATAATTTTGATTATCAGAAATTATTTAACATTTAGAGTAAAATACCCTTTTAATAGAATTAATAGGAGAGGTATAGAGTGAGGTAACTCACATACCTCACTCTTCAAGCACTTTTTTTCCCTTATTACAAAAAAATCAAAAAGAAAATCCAGAAACTGTTTTTTAAGGAACTTATTTTACTTATTGAAACCAAACTCAACTTCCTGGATCTAGAATACTATTTTTAATCTTGAATGGCATGGAAAAATTACGTACGTCATTAAAATCATAAAAAAATTATGAAATAAATTTGAAGATAATTATTTATACTCTAAAATTTCTCGAAATTGAACCAACGTGTTTTAAAACTGAAATCTTTAAGCGAAACATTTCTTTTGCGATAATTGATAAACGATTTAGGCATTATTAAGCTTAAATCACAAATTCAAATGTCTTTTTAATTATAGTTGGATTTTTTTTTCTTACAGGAAGAAAAGTTTGAAAGTAGTTATCAGTCCTCTATTGTTTATTTACCTGCATATCATCGTACAGGTAAGCATAAGAAATCATGACGAAATATTGATGTACATTTTACAGCCTATGCATGAAATAACTTACATTTATAGATTGCCTGGTGTTCTTTCGCAAAGTGCGAAACATGAGAATAAATGCCATACAACATGATTAGTAATTCTATAGATAGCCTAAGAAATGTACTGAATGGTCGATTTTAGAAATTTTATGAGTGCCGTATAAATATTAAATTAGGAAAAATATTGTGTTTTTAGGGGGACTTATCCTTTTTAATAGTTGCTGGGATTGAAGTCGTTTTAAAAAATATCAATAGAATTCTCAATGTTGAGTAAATTTAATTTCGTTTAATTTAAAATTAAATTTAATAATAATTGTAGCCATTTTTATGAGCTAGTTCACCTCTTAGTTCTAAATCGAAGCTAATTGATTTTCCTTATAAATGAATTATTGAATAAGTTTTCCATTTTGTAATTTACGTTTAACGATATCTAAATATTCATATTCCAGGTCTTACAGCAAATAAAATTTGCCTATGCTGGCTTACACTAAATCTGATTTGCAGATGAAATAATATTATTATTTTATTTAATAATTTCAAAAAGTAATACCAATTTAAAAAATTGGCTTTTTTCTAACTATGCAATGCGATTTGCCATGTTTACCTAAATATCTGTTTTTTTTTTCATGATTTCAGGACACCAATTACTTATACATCAAGAACAAGCAATCTATGAAGTCCCTGACTTAGGAAGAAGAAAACAGGATTGCAACAGATCATCCAGAGAGAATGGATACAGGTAAATACAACATCTAAAAAATTAAAGAAGTAAAAATGCTTAATCTAGCATATTACCTCTGCTTTTACCTTTCTTAATATTAGGGGGACGGGAAAGTAATGTCGTTTCGGTTCATTTGATATTTATTATCAGGATTTTATTTTTAATCAGTAATGTATTCATCCTCGTTAGCAGCAACCTATCAATGCCGGATAGAAAATTAATTGAAATGGATAGAAAAAAAAAATGATTTGGTCTTTAAGACTAACGAATATTTAATGCGCCAAAACGACATTGTTTTCCGGTCCCTCTCATACTTTTCAAATGTTTATATTATAATTACGATTATCACTAAAAATTAAGACAACAAACAAGCAAACTTTAGTGAATATAACAAAAATTAGATAAGTTCAAAAATCACTGAAATAAACATATATTCATCGCCGTGAGGAAATATCTTGTCCACGCGATTAAAAATAGAAATACAAAAATAGAATAGAAAATAAAAAAAAATTACATAGAATAGATACATAGAATCGAAAATAAAAAAAAACTTTTTAAACTAAACTGAAAAAAGCATGGAGAAAATTGAGAATGGACCTATATTTTTATGCATATATAATAATTTATTGAAACTATTGAAACAGACGCATGCAACCTATTGTGCATGCAAGTATATGCATATGGTATAAATTAAATAGTAAGTATAAACAACAATAGTAATTATAAACTAGTATAGAACATTGTGTATCTGAAAAATTTTATTAATAGAAATACATCTGTTTTGCAGGTAGTTGGGTAAAAAGAAGGAAAAAAATATTACTTTCGTTCCTTATAGATTAAAAAATGCTCAATATCGCTTATATTAATTATAAATTTATACAGTGTGCGTTTAAAAATTGAATATGTTTTTTGAGATTATAAGACTTGGGCAAAGGAAACTAGAAAATTTTGGTATTTCTAAAAAGCATTTATCTTGAACTTATATTTTCTAGAAACTTCATTATTCCTTATTTGTTGTGTATTTTCGCGTATGTTACTTCCCTTATATTCACAAATGTGACACTTACTAACACTTTAAATTCAATTTGAAACTCTTTTTGAACTGTGAAATCATATTTAGTATAGACTAGCTGAATAACGACTCTTCGTATAAAGTAAAATAAAATCTCTGTTCATTTATGAACAGATATTGTTAAATATTTGAAAAAAGATTGTATACATATTAATTTATTACAATGCCTAATATTAAATCTATAGAAAAAATTTATTTTCTAGCTATCCTTTAATAACGAAATTTAGAATTATGAAAAGAGAATAACATTGTCCTTCACACTCGTTGTCCGAATTGTAGTACCCTAGCATGAATGGTTTTAGAGTTAAAAGAGTGAAACACATACGTACTAACACAAATTCTCCCTTTCAGTATTATAAATACAATTTTTAAAATAAATATATTTGATCATTCAGTTTTAATAATTTAAAGCTAGCGAGAAAATTACGAATTTGCATCCTTAATTTAATAAATAATTGAACGAATAAGACATGAAACTGCTTAAAAGAAAAGGAATAATAAAGATTTTTAAACAAAATTTGAAATTTCTCCCATTCATTAGAAATATTTTTAACGAAAGTGGTAAGACTTTACATTTACTTTCTAACCTTTGTCAAAATGATGCAAAAAATGTAAATATTAAAAAGAAAATTCCTTTGAGGTTGCGTGCATGAATGATATATCAAGTACATAATCAGTCAAGTCTATTTTACTCTACAGATAAATTTGGCACATAATAGCAATCTTCATCTGAAAAAGATATTTGAATTTTTGATTTTTTTTTACTTTCCTATGTGAACTTAAATATTTTAAGATGAATTTAAAATAAAAAGAATCGAGAATTCATATTTTCAAATATTTTTCTTTGAAATCTCAGGAGATCAAGCATAGAATCTGATGATGAAAATGAAGATGATCTTATATTAACTTCAAAGGATAGAATATTTGAAGAGGCTCGTGAATCAGAAACAGAATGTGACCGTCTCTGTAAGTACTCCTTCATTAAATGTAAATTTTGAAGTAAAAAAAAACTAAAAAAACTAAAATATAAAGTAAAAAATGAAAGGCGAAAAAAAATAATAAAAAAATATCATATTTAGGGAACGTAAGATAGTTTCTTAAGGTGCTAGTAATATTCACAAAAATAAGTAAAATATTAGTTATTAAAGGTTTTCAAAATGTATAAAAATGATCAAATGTTACATAAAATACACACGGGCCTAAAAATCAAAAAATACATATGTGCCGTTATTTCAAAAAATCAATTTATTAATGATACTGAACTTGACCCCCCAATTTTTTTTTCCTGGGAGTCGAATGTCGTTATATTAAAATTTCAACTAGGGAGTTTTTATTTTATTTCTGATTTAGATATTTCAGGAAAAAGTGCTTCTATTCAGATTGTGAAAGGATGTTTAGTTTTATTCAAAATATTTTCCGATATATAAGCATATATATTTTGTTGTTGTTATTTAACGAATATTTTCCGAGATATCTCTATTTTCACTGATTTTTACGTCATCTTCATTTTGCGACTGCAGTGCCACCTACAAACCAAAATGAAAATACCTGCCTGTCAAATTGAGGTACTTTTCTGGAAAGCCTAAATCTGTCATGAAAATAGGGGTTTTGGGTTTAAAAAAATAAAATGGTTCATTTGTTTAGCGCAATGCTCACCTATCATGTATTTGCAATATGCAATATTTTTGTTACTTTAGTTATATCTTATCATGGATCTTTTCTTGAAACTACTCTGAATAATGTAATAGAAACTAAGTATACAGGAAAAAGATTCGTAATGTTTATCGTTAAAAGGTTAAAATAAAATAAAAAACGGTCTTTATAAATGATTTTGTTACTTATAAAGCGTTTAATATATGGCAACGCTTGTTGTTATTTCTCTAAATTATGCGTTTCTCCTTAGTTACAACTCGGCATGAACTTATTAAATTTTTTTCATTAACCTGAAACGTAATGTTTCAAGACAAATAAAGTTCGGCTCAATATTAAGCCATAATACCTGCACATTGAACAGTAATATTTTGAAAGTTTTCTGCAACTTTTAGAAAGAACCGCGTTTTCATTCTAGTTACACCATAGTATCGCGTCGATTATTGTTCTTAAAACACCAAGTTAAAATAAACCTTAATATATTATGGGTTAACTTAACATCAAAATATGGTTGCTTAATGATAGTATGGTTCCAGGAGCACTATATGTTTTAACATTATATCATACTTTTAATACATAGAAAGATTTATACTTTAAAATGATGCAGTAAACGAAAGTTCTTATAATTTGTAGGTGTAAGTCGAAATGCGAAAAAAGCAATAATACTTAAAGAAAAAATTAAATAATCAAGTCAAACTTATTTAAACTATTTATTCCAAACTTTTGTTTTAAATCATGTATCTGACATTTTTGTTGCAGGGAAAAATTTTCAGAGTAGCCAATATGAAGAAGGTAAGCGTTGGTCTTCCGATAGAGAGAGGGTAGTTCTGACTTAAAGCTACGCTTTAAAATTTTAAAAGGTTTGTATAGAAGAATTGTATTTTTCTTTCACTTTTCAAACCAAAACTGCATGCAAAATAGATTTTCTTTATTATCAATTTGACGAAAGTGAACAAATACAATAGACTCGACAGTGTTTGGAAAGGAAAAGGCTTATGACGATTGTCGAATTTGCCTACAATACTTTTAGTGCACATTCTTAATAAAATGCCTGCTGTAATACTATAAATTGAAATTGCCTATAACTGAAATTAGTTCCCTTTTCAACTAAACAATTTAGAATGACTTATTAAAAGAAAAATTACTGAAAAATAGATCAAATTAGTCAGTAGAACAAAAAACATCAGTGATCGAAGATTAATGTGGACAAAGCTTTTAACCATACATATACGAACCATACATACTTACTCAATTCCACGAATAAATTTACTCAAATAAAATGCTCAAAATTTTACTCTAATTAGTGCTTTAAATTATGATTAAACTGTTTAAGCATAATTTTTTCATACACAGTTTTTCGTTTAACTTGACCATAAAAGAAATGTAAGCTTAAATAACACGATGAATTTATTACAAGAAATTACGATTAAACATAATTGGTTTTAGACAAAAATGCCGTAAAGTTCCAGATTCCAATTCGGAATGGTCTTGATGTATATGATGTATAGTATGGTTAATTTGAAAACTTTGGTCATCTAATTAGATCAATGGATAACAAACCAACCTTTCATTAAACTCATTCATTGAAAAAAAAAAAGCTTTTTTTTTTAATTGGGGAATGTTCTTGAGAAACTTAAAAATTGATTTCATGCTTAGATAGGACAACTAATCGTTTAGGTTTCCTTTTCAGATGAGCTTATTTTTATATGAGGAAGAAGGAAAACCAGTATGACCGGTGCTATGAGCGAAAAATTCTACCTGTGATTTCCTGATTTACAATGTTTCCTTCAAAAAAATTGTGAAAATTTATTTGTGAAAATATTTTTCTGAATAAAACTTGTTGTTAATCCCTTTATATTGCTTCTTTGATTTCATTTAATAAAAAATGAGAATTTTTTTTTACATGTTGCATGCACTTTACGTTTACATGTAATAGGTAAAGCATGCATACATGAATGGTATGAATGAATGCATAAGCTTACATATGTAGGTAACAGTATAGCTAACAGGGCCGGGATAGCCTGGTTGGTAGGGCGCTATACTCACGTTTGGGAGATCAGGAATTCGAATCCAGCCGACCAAAGACTCCCCATGTAATAAGTGGTAACTGGTGCACGTTAATTATGTCGGGTCACACAATCCTCCTTGTTTCTATAACAAATTATACCTCTCGGAGTACTGAATTGGAGATTGATCATTCTCTATTTCAGGTCAAAATTACGGTTTGTGGCTAAAGGAATGAACGTATGGGTCCGCCCTATAAACGAGTGTGACGTATGGGTGTAATTGAAGTTAAATTCTCGATCATAGATAGCACCACTGGAAAATAAGAACAATCGCGTCTCCACTGCCTTAATGGCCGACGATAACAAAAACAATAGTATATCTAGCATTCAAATTTGCGAGAGTTTTGAATTTATAAGTGAAAATTTTAACAAGTTGTTAAAAGTTTTCAGACTCGAATCAATAAAATAACATGTTATTAACTGAATATCTTACTGCATTAGGTATCATAAAAATTACTGATGATTAGTAAAATCAATTCACTAAAAATCGAAAGCTATAGAAATATGCTCCTTTCACTTAAGAAACTTGGGAAGTTATTCTCACCAAATTAGTTACAAGGTGGTCACCAAGAGTGGTCCTGCTATCTGAGGAGCATTTATTAGACAGTGCTGTTTTCAAGATAACCAAATAACCAAAAAGTTGAGGGACAATCTGGGAACAAAATTAAAAATCACTCAAGTATGTTAACTTCAGTGGGTTCAATAAATAGGCAGTGGGAAACACTCTTTTAAAATTTAAATTCCCAGCGTTGCCATCTATTGTTTAATTCTCTGACCTTTTCCGAAATTTGATGGGAATGAATTTTTGCTCTACTTAAAGGAACGCACAAACAGTACATTCTTTTATTTTCATCCACATCTTTTAGTAAAATTTTAGATCATGAAATTTATGGTCCTCTTCTCAAACTCTTGATTTAAATTATTAAAGACAAAGTAGAGAATCCGATAATTCATTAATTTTAAATTACAATTTTGACGATAGGTTACAATTACTAACAAGACAAGTATCATCGATGAATTAGGTCATTCTCCTTTGGTATTAAAGTTTTTCCTCGTGAAACTCTCCCCAAATGTGCTAAAGTGCACGAAAAAAAGAAGAAAATAAAGGGAAAAAAGCAATCTCCATGAATAACATTTGATATATTTATCGGATTTTCACGTACTAGGACACAGGTTCATGATTCAAAATTATGACCTCAAATATGCTAATTAGTTAGTTCAGATGATACTTTAAATAACGAAATCAGGCACAAAAACGTACTTTCCATGAATGAACATAACTTTTATTTGGAATATTTGGATTTCTGACCTCCAAAATAAAAGGGATAGCCACCATCAGAGAAATATTGTTCCAGTTGTTTGGTTAGGTATGTTATCGAAGGTTCGGACCCCTTTATGGGAATTTCACTTTTTGTGTATTTCACTATATCTAGCGAACTTCTTAAGCGAATTGAAAAAATTTTGCTCACAATTATATAACGCGCTTATAGAAAAATAATTTTATGCAAAAAATAATTTGGAATGAGTATTTATCATTTTTTTTAATTAATTTATTTAATAATAGGAAAAAAAATTACAAGGTACACAAATTTTAACATCATTTTAAAACATGAATGACAATTTTAAATGACAAAATGCAAAATTTCAACGAAATCATTTAAATAGATAAAATGTTTAAAAAAAAATAGAAAATATCAAAAACTATTCGATCTGAAGAAGTATTTAACCAAGTTCGTCCAAAATTTGTATTTTGTTTTATAATATTATTCGCTTTAAAATGATGTCAAAATTTGCATACCTTTGCATTCAAAACTTTTTCGATTTTTAAATAATAAAAAATAGCAAACATAAATTAAATAAGGAATAAATGATTTTTTTAGTAGAATTATTTTTGGAGAAATCAAATTTATAGTTGTGAATAAAAATTTTTCAATTCGCGGAAATAGTTCTCAAGGCTTGGTGAAACATGTAAAAAGAGAAATAGCATTATGGGGTCCAAACTTTCGACCAAACCATGAGGACCATAATTCCCAGATTATATAGTATTCCCTTCATATATAGTATACGCCTTTCACACGTATACGGCTTTCCTCATAAACAATCTTTCATTCGAGAGCACAGATACCCTGCTGTTCAATGTTCAAAATTAAAAGAATTCTTTGATTCCGTCCAGAAATACGGAACAGTTTTAATGGAGTTGGTTGAACTTAAGTTCGCAAAAATAAAAATAAAAATAACCCTTTAACAAGTTTAATACACATGCATAAATGCTCCCAAGACAAGTTGGATTTAAAAGTCAAGAAATGAGAAATCGAACGAAATTATGTATATATCGAATATGGTAGCCCGCCCCTTTCACAAGATTGATTAATAACTATAACAAGAGAAATTAAGGTCAGTTACAAAGTAATTTAACGTATGAGAAAAAAACAATAATTATGTCAGAAAGTAAAGAGACTCACCCAGCAATATCCAGATAAGTCTAGTTCTTACGACAAAAATTAAATCGAAAACAATTTAAGGTAATATGAGCAGTTAAAAAATAAATTGGAATGACTTGCAAATTTGTTGGATTTCTTCTGGTAATTATCCAAAATCAATCGCGACATCAAAGATTGAGCATTATATCGAATAAGGGTACAAAATATAACATTTGTTATTAGTGCATTTCGCACAACACTGTTTTAGTCATGAGTGTTAATTTGGTTTAAGATGTCATTGTTAAGGATAATGTAACATCAAGTGAAATTAAAAATAAAATTGCAGGAGTAAATGTTAATAAAAATACAAAAGTGAAATCTTATTATAAATCCGAAACTTTACACTACGAATAAACTGGAAAAGCGTGAAACATTATGGCATAGATGTACTAAAGTCTTGAATCGATTGATAATCTACTACATATAAAAATCTAATAACAGTGTCACCGTTTTCCTTTGTTGTCTGTGCATTTTTATTTTCTGGAAAATCACGTGGTAGGATACAGTTTTTCCTCATTCATTTCTATATTACTTTGGTTGTCACCAGCATAAAATTAATAACAGTCATAAGGTTATTGTTTTTCAATAAATATTTTTGTATTCGCTATCGCAACGCTTGAGTACGCCCTCTAGCGGAGCCTGTAGATATCACGCTCTTATTTATTAAGTTTTCAGTTAGTTCTATCATAATCATTGGCAAAGTCGGATGCCATTTTCTTAGTAGCAAATAAGAAGCAAAATTTTTCCTAAGGAAAAGGCAGAAGAACTTGAAAAAACAAACCAGAACATTGTTAAATCTTTCAGAAACAGAACACGCCAAACATTTGAAGAACAATTTCTCAATAGTTTTTGACTTTCTATTATTAACAAACTTGCAACCGATAACTTCCGATTTCGAGATCGCATACTGTCACAGAAGTGTGTATTACGGTAAAATACATTTTTTTTGGTCTTCAATTCATTACAAATTGAAGTTAAGTCAACACACACTGCTTACTTCATTCCAATAAATAAATATGATTTCAGAACTGTAATAGTTATATAATAGTATATATTTCAGAATCTATATAATTCGGAAAACAACAATAAAGAATCGTCCGAATCAGTTGAAATAATGTCATTTATGTTGATCATTAATAATTTTTTATCATTTTCTTGGTAAGTATTTTTTAATTTTGAGTTATAAATTTCAACTAGAATTCAGCTATTCTGTTTTAAAGCTACATATTGAAATTCATATCGAGATCTTGCAAAAATAAATTTTAATTGTGTGGTATGTCATTTTAAAGTAATGAAGGCATAATATGTGTATATATTATTTGAGAATAAAGTTTTCAAATGAAGAACATATTATATTGGAATTCTCCGGATTTAAAATGCAGGTAAGTTTTATAATTTTTATAATAAAAAATTTTACTTGTAAATATTTTTTTTCTTATTTGATGATATTTTTCTATAGAATGATTATCTACGTCCGATTATGAACGAAAAAAAAAACTTGAAAGTTTTCTATTTTAATGAGAGGAATTCTTAGAATTGTTTATTTTTTGTTTCGTAAGCATTCTCTATTTTACGTTTTTTAGTTTCTAAATAATGATTTTAATTCAAACTTAAAATATTTTGACAAAAATTGATGTCAAAAAACTTTTTCTGCAAAATTAAATGATATAAAATTATGAGCTTATGTATACTTTTTGCTTATTTTAATGCTTGAAATAATATGATTCTTAAAACCGTGGAATGTAAAGTTTAAATTTGCCTTTCATGATACATCATTAAATTTAGTAAAACGTTTTCGCAAGGATTAGGTTTTAACTCTAATAAGAAGATACATATTTTTTTTCTATTTATTTGCAAATATTCTTCTGATGTATTTTGGATGTTCCTTCTCTGAAAGAAAGAGATACCATTTTGCTTTTACTTGCATAAGAAAGAATATAAAACGTTTTTCTTTTTTTAAATCTAATAAGCCACAATAAAAAAGGAACGTTACAATACTACACGCTACGTTAAAGACTTCTTCGGAGCAGGTAAATGATTCTTCATATGAAAATCGCAGGAATTCGTCTCTTACAACAACGCCCCCTATAATTCGTTGAGATCGCGAATCCTTAATTTAAAGTTATTTTCCTGTACTGCTATAATTTAGCTTTTAATTAAGGAATTTAAAACTAAGATAATTGTTGTTGTTGTTTTTATTATTATTATAATTAAGTTCTGCTCTTTATTTCAAGATAAAGTTACTTAGAAAGGTGGTCTAATATTATTAACCATTTGACAATTATTATTTTTGTACAAATAACATTAAT